CCAACCTGGAAGGTGGTCTGGAGGGATGGAGTGTATCGATGTGGTTAGGAAACCCCAGGGCTAGTCCAAGCAGGATATGCGAGCAAAGCAGGGGTAGTCAGAAAGGGCCAAATGCAGGTGACACTTAGAATGGTCAGGGCTTGAAGAGCAATTAGCTTCATGGATTAAACAACTATACTTGTTTGCCAGTGCTTTGGAGATTTTCAGTGATCCTGCCTCTTCAGGTATGGGGATAACAGATATCTGCTACCCATTTGAAGTATTCCAAACCTCTGAGTTCATCTGCCAAAAAATGCATCCATAAAAGAAAAATATATCATTTTAGTTGGCATCAGCCTCTGGTTATAAGGTAACCTGCTCCTGAATGAATGACACTTTAGGATGTCATCCACAACGTGGACCATTGGTCTGTTTTTGAGTATCACATGAAATCAGGCATGTGAACTCTCTTGGTAAGCTTGGAAGTACTGATACACTGATGTTGGAGGCATAGGGGTGGGACCAGAATGAGGAGGCGATCTTGTCACCAACTGTTGCTGACTGATAGAAAGCAGAGCCTGAAATGAATGGGACTCAGCATAGATAAATCTTGATGAGTGTGCCAGAAGTGCTGTCTTAGTCACCTTGGGCTGCCATAGACTGGGTGATTTAAACAACAGACATTTATTTCTCAGTTCTGCAGACAGTCTCCTCACTATGTCCTCACACTCTATGAAGAGAGAAAACTCTGGCGTTTCTTCCTCTTCCTATAAGGACATTAATCCCATCATGGGTCCCCATTCTCAAAACCTGATCCAAACCTAATTACTTGCCAAATGCCCAACTTTCAAGTCCCATAGCATTGGGAGTCAAGTCTTCAAAATATTAACGTGGGGGGGGGCAGACAGCATTCAGCGCATAACAAAGCACAGGATAGGGGCCTCCCCTGGTGGCGCAGCAGTTGAGCGCTGGGCTGCGAAGCTGCCCGCAGCCTCTACAGTGCCAGCTCGATCCCTGGCCACCGGCGAGGGTCCCACATGGCGCAACAGATCTCTCCTGCCACGCCCGCTGCTCCCCTCAGCAGTGTATTTCTTCGTCAGTCTGCCTGTTCTGTTCCCCGCTCTGGCTCTGGTGAATTATCTCACCCTCCCGTGCTTCTGACTGTACCCAGTGCTTGTATAAATAAATAAATAAATCTTTAAAAACAAAACAAAACAAAGCACAGGATAACAGAGCACAGAGGGAACAACCGGAGTGGGGCAGGGATTGAGGGGAATTCTGAACTCCCAGAACAGGAAGAGACCTGAGGTGGGTGAATGAGGGTGTGAATTCTGGTACTGTCACTTGCTAGAGCTGAATGACTTGGATAGGTTATTTTGTCACATCTCAACTGTCTGATATAAAATGAAGACTCATTCATTCGTTCACCAAATATTTCATTGAATAGCTGCTGTATGTCAGAAACTTTTCTAAAGGCTGGTGATCTAAAGGTGTACAAGACAGACTGAGTTCCTGCCCTTTCCAGGTATACATTCCCATGGGATGGTAACAGCATCTCGAGGAGTCGCTCTGAGGAGTGCATGGTATGATTTACATGGCACAGTAATTGTGCATAATAAATGCTCTTGAATTGTTGGCTGCTATTATCTGTTTCACAGTTTTTCCTGGGGCTGGTTCCATTAAGACTGTGTGAATAGAACAAATGAATAGAAATCAGGGGCATTAACCTGGAGGTCCGTTCATTCCTCGCATCTGTTTGTATTTGCTGTTGTTGATAGAACTTCCAGGGTCACCCCCACATTGCCCATTTCACTGCGTAGCCAGTATCTGGGCTATTTAACCATTCCATGGGCTCCCTTCTCCAATGAGTCCAGAAGGGCACTGCTTATTTAGGAAATGACATGTTCTAAGTTATTAATACATCCCAAATATTAAAATTTCAGTTGAAGCACTGGGAAAATCATGGCAGGATCATAATTTAGGGAGGCCAGGTGGCTAATGAATGCTTGGTGCCCAGGAATATCTTGATTCCTCTGCCCCTCTCTCCCAATTAACAAAAGCGCTGATGATCTCAGGGCTGTTTTTGGCCAGCTGGGATAAATCAGCCCGCTGGCAGCTGCCCAAATGATGTATTTTAAGGGCACAGGCCATGTGGCTCTCCATTGCAAAGCGATTGGGGTCACTGTGTTTGCATATGGATTAACTTGCTGTGCAGGGATCCTACCCACTTACTGTGCCCGTTGTGGGTTGACATGCAATAGCTATTTAGCAATGATAAAGAGATGGCAGACCTAATGACCCTTAAGGATGCCCCCATCTTCATTTCTCTCCATCCAATTTTTACTACTTTCAGCAAAGAGAATTGTATTTTTACAGTCCCTGTTCTTGGGAGGAATTTCTCACAACTGATAGAAAAATGTACCTGCGTGAGCATGGGTGAAGAAAACCAAAAAGATCAACAAAGATGGGTCTTGAAAATGATCAGCTAGGCCTGTTTGCTTTAGTGATTTTAAGTTATAGTTATTTTACATACACTGTTAATTGGATGAGCTGTCCTCTGGAGGAAACCCAGGGCAAATCCCAGTGAATGGGCTCAGGTGGTAATTGCTCTGTTGTGAACAGTGTCTAGAAGTTCCTGAATATTTTGTCTCCATTCCCCTGAGCAATCATGTGTAACACAGAGGAGATGACTACCTTACTCCCTATTCAGCCATTCAATAAGCATTTACCATTGACCTATCATGTTTAACATGACATACTGAACATTGGAAGGGTCCAAAGAGGTACAAGACTGTCCCCAAAAAGCCAGGAATTCGCTGTCTTAACAGAGGGATTAGGAATTCACAAAATAACAAAGCCAGGAATTTGCTGTTTTACAAAAGGGAGTAGGAATTCACAGCAAATAACTATTCACAAGACAGGGTCAAATATTATAGTTTAGGCCAACTGGTCTTTGACCCTTGTGATCTGTGATCATAGGTCCTGGGTTTTCTGGGCATGATCTAATACTTCACTTTCCATGCCCCATAAAATACTGAAGTACTCCCGCAGTCAGAATTCAAATTCCATCTCTTAGGCTACCTTTTCTATCTGGAAGAAATACAAAAATCCTCTGCCAAACCACGAGTTCTTAGTTTTTGCTAAAAATGATAGTCACTGAACAGTAGTAGCTCAGACCATAAGGTGACTGACCACTCATAATTCTGCAGAGGCAGTTAACTAGGAGCATTAGCCCTTTCAGTAAGATTTTTTGAACCTTGGCAAATGTTTTCAATGGCCCTTGCACTGCTTTTGTTTTCATTTATTAATGAACTGCATCTATTCAGTAAACAACAATGACAGTCTTGACCTCCCAGGAGCTTACATGACAGTCTGATGGGGAAAACAGACAAGTAGGCAAAGTGGCAACTTAGAAGGTCATCGAAGACTGTGTGCTTTGAAGGAATTTGGATTTTACTTTTATGGCACTGAGTCATTAAATGGTCTTAGACAGAGGGACAAGGGGATTCAAATTGCACTTTACAAAGCTGATCTTCCCACAGTGCAAAGAAATGGAAGAAAATAAGCATGTAGCAAGGCTGGCAGAAACTGAGGATGTTCTTGTGTCACTCCTGGCATTACTGCCACAGAAAGCTCCACCGAGAAGGATGTCAGTACTTGAGAGTGTAAGGGTGAAATAAAGTCACTGACAAGCTGATAAATAGTCATCTAGAGGGGTGTAGGGACAGGCCATAGCTCTAATTATTTATATACAGTTCTATATCCTGTACAATTTCTATATATCTGGCCATTCAAGTGAAGGAAAAGAGGCAGGTTAGGGAAAGTGCTTAAAGATAACTTAAAAATTAACCTATCTATGCAGATTAAAGTAAGTTTAAGGGCCTCCCCGGTGGCGCAGCGGTGGAGCGCTGGGTTGCGAAGCTGCCCGCGGCCTCTGCGGTGCCGGTTCAATCCCCGGCTGCTCCCCGGCCACCGGAGGAGGGTCCCACATGGCGCGCAGACCTCTCCTGCCGCCCGCTGCTCCCCTCAGCAGTGTACTTCGGTCCTTCTGCCTGCTCTGCTCCCGGCTCTGGCTCTGGTGAATTCTCTCACCCTCCCGCGCTTCTGACTGTACCCAGTGCATGTATAAACAAAACAAACAAACAAGCAAACAAATAAATAAAGAAAACATGCCTCTGTTAAAAAAAAATAAATAAATAAAGTAAGTTTAAAAGGCTCAAAAATGGATAAGTTAAAGGGAGGAAACCCTTCTTTGATAATTGTGAAAGTCAGGTAACAAACCGATCTGTGTTATTTACCATTGGAAAGTGACACTTTCTGGAATGTATGCGCCACCATGCAATGTTTTTCATTTAGCTGATGCAAAAATATTCTCTGCACTATCTCCAAATTGACTGGGCAGCATGAAGTAAGCAAGGAAAAGCAAACAGAACTCACAAGCCAGGTCACGAGCCCAGTGATGTAGGGCTAATACAATTAGCCCCACATCTATGCACTCTTAGCCCCCCTAGGTTGAGGTTATTAGTGTCACCATCAGAAAAATTGAAAGGCTCAGCTGAATGAGTGAATGGAGTAATTGTGTGTTAAGGACATTGTGGGATCCCTCGTCTATTTTTAAGCACTTGTTCCTAAACTCCCTCACTTAAGTGCCAGGGTGCTCGGAAAGCAGTAGTGATAGAAAACTGTGGATATAAGTAACTACAATAGTAATTGGCATTCTATGCTGCTCCTTTGTCCCTCCACCCTCCTGGAAGGCGGCAGCATGGGGTGGGGGGGGCGCTCTACCTATAGTCCCTGGAGACCAGAAGCTGGTTCATATTCTCCAGGGCACTGTCCATTTCCCTCCTTCCCAATTACCCTAGTTCTGACTGAAACAAGGCTCTCAAAGGACAGTGCCCAATGGAGGACAGGTCACTATGGGTTCTCACCCATGTACTCAGGCTCGGGAGACAACAACGGGGTTCATTTAACAAACCGGAAAACAAAGCGTTTCTAAGGCCACTAATAACTGGCTAGCTCACCCCAGAAAGTGTCCACAGTGTCCAGAAGTCCCGAGCAAAAGGTCACTCGTCCAAGATGGCGCCACCCCGCCAAAGAGGGCCTGGAGCTCCCGGCACAGTGGCCAGAAACAGGCCGGGCTCCAACTCACCGCAGCGGGCGGCGCTCGCAGGCGGCGCGGAGATGACGTCACAGCAGCCGCTGCGACGGTCTGAAGGTCTGGACACTCCGGGCTCTGCCCGGGACAGCAGTGCGGGCAGCAGCACCGGGAAGGGGGCAGATGGCGCGCCATGTAGCAGGGGCCGGTGGAGCTGGCCATGCGGTCACCAGAGGCGGTGCTGGCAACACCGGCCTTACGGCTCTTGGTGAGCCGCTGGCCCACACCATCAACAGCTCTTGGAGACAGCAGGCCCGGGCCTTTGGTCCTCCTTTCAGGAGGTGGCAGTGGCAGGATCAGAGGCAGGTGCAGCCGCCCCATGCCTGCGAAGCACTTTGGCGTCTCTCTTTGACGGCCCGGCCGCTGGATTCTGCTGCTTTTGTCTTTTTTTTTTTTCTTCAGAGGTCAAGTTATCTTTAACCACGTTCCCTAACCTGCCTCTTTTCCTTCACTTGAATGGCCAGATATATAGAAATTGTACAGGATATAGAACTGTATATAAATAATTAGAGCTATGGCCTGGCCCTACACCCCTCTAGGTGACTGTTTATCAGCTTTTCTTCAGGGAGTCCCAAGTCCTGCCTTATATCCTCTTTCTGGGTCTCCCAGATACTTACTGGACACCTACGTGAGGGAACCATTTTCAATTCTTCATCACCAATTGGACCATTTTAGGGCAAATCGCCCTTCTGCTTCCGAATAATTCAATAGCTGATGAACACGATTGGTTCACTTAGCTCGCACTTCATTGGTCCATCCATTCTATGATCCAGATGCCAAATATACATAGTGCCAGGCTAGCCACCAAGTCCAACAGGCGCCGGGCCTCTGAAAAGCCCTCTACAGCCATCAGCAGCAGGGCAGCCTATGCAGCTAACCTGAAGCAGAGCTCCAGGAGCCAGTGGGAAATTCCAAGCCAGCTCTGCATTAATACCCCGCTGGCGCCCAGGGGAGGGGCTGCTCCATGGGTGGGTAAATGGCCATCACTTTTCCAAGCATAGGCAGAGTTGGGAAAATTCCAGTCTTGTCTCACAGCCCACGCTGTGGATCCCCGGGTTCATGACCCCTATCATCTCTTGCAGGAACTTCCTAAAAAATCTACCCCTTTCACTCCTATCCTACCCCATCCAATTTAATCATGTACTCTACAGTGGTTAAAATAATGTTTCTAAAATGCAGACCTGATCATAACATTCCATTGTTTCAAATCCCTAAATGACTGCTCAATATTAAGAGGGAAAATTTCAAAATCCTTAACATAGCCCAGAAGACCTTGTTTTCAAAGGCAAGTGCATCTCTCTGCAACCTCATCTCTTGCCATACTTTTATTCATTCTCTGCAATCCAATCATCTCTTCTTTTGAATGCCAAACTTTATGTTACCGCATGGCCTTCTAAACATTTCCCACACATCCCTCCACATTTCCCACACCTCTACCCCCCATCTCCACCTGGAACGTCCCAATTCTTCTTTTCTGTTCAACGCTCAGTTTAAATGCCACTTAAAATATCTTGAGGTGCCCTGTATTCTTCTCTGATATTGTTTATCACAAAGGCAATGACACCATTATTTTGTGATTACCTGCTTAATGACTGTTTTCTACTCAGTAAGTGGCTCAAGAGCAGAGACCATATCTCATTTGCTCATTGCTGTGTCCCCAGACCTGGCACAGTGCCTGCCACAAGGGAAGAGTTCCGTCCAGGGAACAAACCTCTGGATTGGATCCAGCAGGAGGATAGATAATGGGGAACAAGTCTATGAAACGGGGCTCCCCTTTTGATCCATTTCTTCTTGGGGCTCCCACTCTTGCTTTCTCGCTGCTGCTTCTACTGTCTTTTATCACTCTTGCCATCATAAATCATATTACCTTAAAATTATTGCAAATATGCCACTTTAGGAGACTGTGCTCACAGGATGCACCGGTCTTCTTGTCCAACCCTGTTTTCTGTGCTCTGCCTGCCTGGTACACAGTGCCTCCTTTCATATGTAAGAGGCAGAATACTGCACACGTGTGTATATTCTCTCTCTCTCTCTCTCTCTCTCTCTCTCTCTCTCTCTCTCTCTCTCTCTCTCTTTCTCTCTCTCTCTCTCTCTCTCTCTTTTCTCTCTCTCTCTCTCTCCTCAGCCTCTCCTCAATGTCCCTCTTTTCAGGAGCCAAGTAGTCCCAAGGCATCAGTCCCTGTTTTCTCTCTCCTTTTCAAGGTTAATCTTGCTTTGGATCCATCCCCTCTTTTTTCCATCAGTCACCCCTGCCCCTTTCCCTCTTAGCCTTCAAATATCTTTCCAATCTGGGGGCCTGGAGGCCTTTCTTGATCCTCAACTTCCTTGATCTATCCTTCTTGAAAGAAAGAGTGCAGCACTCACTCCCTCCTCACTCACTCACTGTTATTCTTTTATCCACTCATTTTTTGAATGGTTAATATATATTCAGAGTACAAATCTCAAAACTTTCCAAAAGCCCATCGCCTCTTCCTTCCATTGGTGTCCTCAAGCCTCATGGTCTGCCCAGAGGCAACCCCAACATCTGTGTATTTTTCCAGAGAGCCTTTTCTCACATATATTCTTGTTTGTGTGTTTCATATAAATGGAGGCATTTGTGCACATTTTCTGCCCTTTGCTTTTTTTTTCACTTAAAATACCTTAGAAAGTATTCTGCATCAGTATATCCAAAGCTGCTTCATTCTTTTAATGACTGCTGAGATCCCTCTGTGAGGATGTACCAAAGATTCTCTACTGTGGACAGTGAAAATGTTTCCATTTCTTTGGTCTAACAATTGCCCTGCAATAATATCTCTGCACATATAGAATTCTCCCACCCTTGTGAATGCATCTGTGAGATAAATCCACAGAAATGAAATTGCCCTTTGAATTTTGGAAATAAATTGCTCTCCATAAAGTAGTACCATCTTGCCCCACGGCAATACATGGGAGGGCCTAGTTTTCCCTCATGCTCTCTAACAGATAGTTTTAACAAGTGTTTTTATTTTTGCCTGTCTGATAGGTGAAAAAGAATACTTTTAATTTGCATTTCTTTTTTATAAGTGCAGTCGAGCATTTTTCTTGTATTTGAGAGCCATTTGGATTTCTCCTTCTGTGAATTGTCTCTTCCTATCCTTTGCCCATTTTTCTATTACATGGTTGGTCTTTTAAGGAGTCCTAAGAACTCTCTATTCAAGAAAACTAGATCCTTGTCTGTAATATGAGCTGCACATATTTTCAGTCTGTAACCCTTAGCAATAATTCTGTGCCCAATAAAGCAAATGGAACTGATACCTCATGAATCCCTTTTAACCATGAAATCCAGAGACCTTTCTGTGTAATCTTTCATTTTGTCAGCATTTGACACTACTGAACCATCCTTCCAGAACTTTTTTTTTCTTACATCCCTACTGTATCTTGGATCATATCCCACTTCTCTTATTGTGTGACTCCTCATATTCCTTCTGAAATTCCATTACTGGTGTCCTTGGGAAAGAAGGTCTTTGAACTCTGCCTCAGGGCCAACCCTCCACCCCTCTACACACACACACACACACGCATAAACACACATGCACAAAGACGCTGCATCCTGTTCCACACCTCTATCCTGGTGTCAGAGCAGAGAGTCCTCTGACATGCTAAGAGATCCTTGGAAGTTGGAAAGAATACTGGTAATTTAGGTTTCTTGGGGTCGCAGGACCCAGCACCCCTGGTTTACCTAACCACTTATCTCCCCCACAAGACACACAGGTTTACTAAGCTGGATTTTTTTTTTCCGGGTGGAGGGTGGGGGAGCAGTAGACAGGAGAAAATGAGAAGAGGGGGTGATCTGGGTTGCTGGAGCAGCTCGCACTGCCAGACTGCACTGGCGTAGGAAAGGGAGAGAGGTGAGGCGCTGGAAGGGGTGGGGACCGCGGGGCTGGCCCAGGAGGCCCGGGCACGGCGTGTGCGCGCGTGCGTGTGGGGGGCGTTGAAATGCCCTGCACGTCGGGGCCGCAGGACAGAGCCCAGTGGGCGCGCCAAGCCTCCCAGTGCCTCGCTCCTCCTGCCGCAGCCATGACCGAGAACTCCGACAAAGTTCCCATCACCCTCGTGGGACCTGACGACGTCGAGTTTTGCAGCCCCCCAGTGAGTACCGCTCAGGACCCCCAGCCCCGCTGGGGCGTTCGCCCCACGCCTGGCCCGGCCTTCGCGCGGGTCTCTGGCCCCACTGTCCGGGGCCAGGAATTGTGACACCCAGCGTGGGTCCCCAGATGTGTGCTTGAGGTGGCGCCCCACGTGCGTGCAGGAGCACCGAGTGCACGGAGGGGTGTGAAGGGGAGAGTGGAAGGAGCGTTGGGAGGGGTCGCCCCGCGGCGGGCGGAGCGCGCGGGCCCTGTGCCGGGAGAGGTGGCCGGTGGCACGGCCCCGCCGGAGCACGGGGACCCTCGGGAGGGGGCGCTGCGAGAGCCGACGCCGGCGGGAGCTCGGGGGAGCTGTTTCCTAGCCCCAAGCAGACTCCGGGGGATGCAGAGCCAGGCGGGGGGGCGGCAGCCTCAGACCTGAACCCCTACCCCCCCCCGCCCCCGCCCGCAGGCGTACACCGCGGTGACCGTGAAGCCCTCCAGCCCCGCGCGGCTCCTCAAGGCCGGAGCCGTGGTCCTCATTTCAGGGGCGGTGCTGCTGCTCTTTGGGGCCATCGGGGCCTTCTACTTCTGGAAGGGGAGCGACAATCACGTAAGTCAGGAGGGCGGCGCAGCCTTAGGACCCCAGCAGCCCGCAGCGGGGGGGCGCGGGGGGCGGCGGGGTCCTCTCTGTCTCCCGCCTGCTGCCCACTAGGTGGCGCCAGAGCGCTGGTCCGCCACGGGGCGCTTTCCCCGAGGCTACCCCAGCCCGCCTGGCCTGGGCAGCCTCTCGCGTCTTCCATCCAGCTCCACCTCCCAGGTCTCTGCGCACAGCCAGCTTTGAGGAAACGCGAACGGGGAGAGTAGAGAGGACAGCTGGAGGAAAGCCTTTGTTGGCATATTTAAGCCTGACGTTTCCACTCTGCCGTGTGGGTGGGGACGGGAGGGTTGGGAGGGGGGTGGTAAAATTTTGGCTGCGATTTACTGAACCTTACTGATTTCTAAGGCCTCTCTCAGCTGAGAATTTAAGAACAAAGGACAAAGATAGTAGAAGACTATTTAGATCCAGTAATTGGGGAGGAATTTGGCCTGTCAGGATTTGTCTGCTTTTGGTTTGGTTTTAGAGTGACCTATTCATTAAAGGTCCCCAAGCTATGGAAATAAATGCCCAAAGGCAGATGAGTGGATCAGAAAAAGGTGGTACACGTACACAAGTGGACTCAGCTATGAAAAATGATGAACGTTTGCCATTTGTGGCGATATAGATGGAACTGGAGGGGATTATGCTAAGCAAAATAAGTCAGAAGGAGAAAACAAATGCTGTGTGGTTTCACTTATATGTGGTCTATAGAGAAGGCAAGCTAAGGGTCAAAGTCTAACAATAAACTTTAAAAAGCGAAGGTAGAGGCTACCAGAGGAGAAGGGGGGCGGGGGGGGTTGGGGAGGATGAGAAGAGAGTGGGGGGGAAACACAACGGACTCTGGCAATGGACTGTGGGTGTTTGGATGGTGGGTGCTTTGTGGTAGCACATCTGAAGGGGGAGACCCTATACTGCTAAAGCACGAACAAGGATATAAACCCATGTTACCTCAATAAATTTTAAAATAAAAAAGTTCACTTTCCTGCTCTGAGGTGGGGGCAAGGGAATTCTAACTTCCTTAAAGGTGACAAATCTCTTTAAAAATCAACTCTGGCTTAGTTGCATGTAATTAATGGGAAATGTTTCACTAACTACTACTGTCCTACTTTCTTTGTATGCAAGTATTTATTTTAAAGCTCTGTGGCTCTGAAGGAGTATAAAAAGTGCTTCTAACTTGACTGGGCAGAATTCCAGTTTGTTCGCTGAATACTCTGAATTTTCTTCACCTATGTAAAGGAGAGCATTTTATCTTAATGACCATTGCCAGGCCTGGTATAAGCTTATTTCAACTAATGGGAAGGGATTCCATCTCCAGTGTCACACAAAGGGTTGTTTCTTAATCACTACCCTCAGAGAATCTGTGACTGCTGTTTCCACATGCCCCCCTTCTCCCACCATGAAATTCAAAGCATGAACGAATTCCAGTACTTAGAGAAAATGGTGCTGAAAGCAATTCAACCATTTTACACATCATATCTTCCGCAGTCACTGCATAATTTGTATTTTTAACTCAAATGCCTAATGTAGATAAGCATGCCATTTAGCACTGAGTCTGTTTTAGAGACTATATCAAATTTACAAGCTTTGATTTGTAAGATCAGAATTACACAGTATTTTGTATATATTTGAAAAGTGCCTTAATGTATTTGTATTTTAAACATAGAAGCTGAGCCAGATGCTCATATTTGAAATCAGCAAATCTGAACATGAGAACAATTTCAATATCTACATCTCCATTAATAGGGTTTAGGTTGTCATCCTTGAAAAAGTGTATGGTATGAATGTAAATGCTATATTTTAGATGACAAAACCTCAATGGTGTAAGTTATTTGGGGGTAAAAATAGCTTTGCTGGGGAGGGGTTAAGATTTTGGTCATGATATATATTAAAATGAATATCATTTGGCATTTAATTATTTAAGGCAAACACAGTTAACTGACAAGCATCTAAAAAGAGAGACTGAATGATCATACTGAATAAGAATAGCTCTCTTTTGTCATATCTTTTACTTTACCACAAGATAGTTGGTTGTCTAGTTCAGAAGAACAGTATTAAATTCTAAGAATACAGAGGAATAGTGAATCACATTTTTATAGCGAACAATCAAAGTTATCGCTATTTCCTACACAGACAGGAGAATGGAAAAAATTCATGTTTTTTTCTTCTAAAATATTCCATGCTGATCCATAATACTTAAGGCTGAAGAACAAATCACAAAATATTAAATAAAGTAAATTTGGCATTGTGCATGCATAACACATGCACGAGTGTGCTTCCCATAAATACCAATCTGAAGAGCTCAAACAAAACATAGTCACAAAAGGTAACTCCCTGTCAAACAGAGAGACATCTTCAACCAGTGTATTACCACTCTGGGAACCGAGTGCCTGTGCTCCCTCTTTATTGGTTTGTAGAGGAGAACCAGCAGTAATTTACCTCCCCTCCCTTTCATATGGGTAAATCCCCTGAAGACAGGTTTGCTCAGAGCCAGTTGAAGGACTATGTGGCATCTGAGTGCTAATAACTGGGGTACAAGTGACTGGGCTCAAATATTGAGGCCATGTTTCAGCCGCATTATTGTAAATGGAACAAGGCATTGAAATATGGGAAATGCCCACGAGGGTGAGATAACTGACAACCTTATCCTGTGGGATGAGGGCATGAGGTCATTGCTTGAGGCCTTTATTCTCAGACTGATTTTTCTTGACATTGTCCTAAACGCATAATTAATCTTATAGAAAACCCAGGCTTTATTAGAAACTCATTAACGAATATTCTTGGCTATAAAAGGCACCATATTGAGCAGAATTTAGGCAAATAATAAACTTCATTGTACTTGGATAGAAACATAGCCCGAGGTGCCAACAGCTCCTTCGACTCAGAGCAGATAATGTGTTTACTACTCCACCAGCCCAGCCTCCTCCTGAGCCCAGGGCCCAGTACTGGAAATATTGGACTATTTATCCCCTCCCCGCAGTCTCTTCAGGAGGGCACAGGCCTCTCACTGCTGCCCCATGCAGAGGGTGTACTGCTGACAAAAGCTGGACTGGAGCTCCATTGCAATGGAAGGCATACCCATACCTAGTTAGGGAGCTTTTGTTACAAGGAAGGTGATGAAAAGTGGTGGAGGAGAAATTGGGAGCTAAACCATTTTACTATTGTTACAATAGTGCCCCTGGTAACAATTTGGAAATGGTTAATTTCTTAAATTTTGCATTACTTTCTAATAAAAGCTTAGGTATAGTGCTTTCGAAGGGAAAAAAGAGCTACTTGCATGAGTGAAGGATGCTTGTGCCAGCAGGAACTCTCGCGAGCATTGCTGCCATGCTCCCCCTAGCAGTCACCATTAACCCCTGTGAATAGTAGCAGCTCAGTGAGTACAGGGACAGAACAGGGCCTGTTTTCCAAACCTACAGAAAGTGTGGCCTTGGCCAAAGAAAACAGGTTTCCCCAACTGGGCTGTTCATAAGGACCACCTGAAGTGCAAAGCAAAAACAGATTGGTAGGCTCTGCTCCAAGTCTACTAAATCAGAACCTCTACAAGTGGTTGTTATGCTCAGGCGAGCTCGGAGACAGTGTGCTGCAGCAATGGAAGTGCATCGAAGGAGGAGAGGAAGAACACTGAGTGATAGTCAAGCTGAAATTGTATGTCGATATTTTCTATTCTGTGGCATAAATGCTTTTGTTGCCCAAAAGGGGACAGACCAGCAAAGCCATTTCTGCATCTCTGCTGATAAAATAAGAGTGCTCTCTGGGTCTTGTAATCACAAGTTTTCTGCAAGTAGTGCTCTAATAACAACAGATATTTTTCTCCAGTGTCTGTCCACATAGCAGTTGTTTTTCATAATGAGGGAGAAATCAGATTTGAATTGAGTCTATTTGCAGTTTTAACCTACTAACCTGACATTACACTCTAGTGCCTTTTATCAGTTCTGACTCCTTCCCCTTTAAAGATTTTATTTATAATATGTGTATATATATTTTACATTTATATATATGTAATATATATATATATATATATATATACACACACACACTTATAAACACCTGCCTCTAGCCTCTAGTCAGAAAAAAGAAAAGAAACCCACCTACTACCCCACAACATAGGAAAGTTCTAGCAGGGTAGCAGCACACTGCACAGGAGCAGCATGTGAATTATTTTTTAAATTCATGTATTAATTGTCTAAATTGAGAGTCCTTTGAATCATTTAACTTAATGGCAAACTTTCCAAAAATGTAATGGCAGAATTTTTCTTAAGAAAATTGTATTCAGGGCCTCCCCGGTGGCGCAGTGGTTGAGCGCTGGGTTGCGGAGCTGCCGGCGACCTCTGCGGCGCCTGTTCGATCCCCGGCTGCTCCCCGGCCACCTGAGGAGGGTCCCACATGGCGCACAGACCTCTCCTGCCTCCCGCTGCTCCCCTCAGCAGTGTGCTTCGGTCTTTCTGCCTGCTCTGCTCCCCGCTCTGGCTCTGGTGAATTCTCTCACCCTCCCGCACTTCTGACTGTACCCAGTGCATGTATAAACAAAACAAACAAACAAACAAATAAATAAATAAAACATGCCTCTATAAAAAAAAAAAAAGAAAATTGTATTCAGGGCCTCCCTGGTGGCCTAGGGGTTAAGTCTCAGCACTACCACTGCAAAGGGCCTGATTTCAAATTCCGGCCAGGGAGGTGACCCACATGGCACAACAGACCTCTTCTGTCTCCCCCACTGCTCCCCTCAGCAGTGTGTTTCAGTAGATCTGCCTGTTGTGCCCCCCACTCTGTCTCTGGTGAATCCTCTCACCCCCTACCCCCCCCCACACACACACACCTCTGGCCTACACTGAGTTCTTCTGTGCAAAAATAAATTAGATAAAATCATATATATATATATATATATATATATATATATATATATAAGAAAATTGTACTCAGAAATCCAACACACAAAGCAGATCAGTTAAATTATGGGTGGACAGGATAGAAAGGAGTCCCAAGTTCCCACCTGCTCTACCGCCCTCACGTCTCGGCAACCTTTGTGAAATCTGAGTTCTAATGACATAAATGAAAACCACCTATGAGGGTCAACTTCTTCATTTTACCCTGGAAGCAACTCCCGAGGCACAGCAATAAGTGGTGTGACCACCTGTTTTTCTGATTTCTGGACCAGGGCTCTTCACGCTGCCAAGTCTCCCTTCCTTCTCCCCTGACACATCTCATAACTAAATGCCCTACCATACCATATGCCTGTCCCACAGAGTCATTAAAGTGAGTAACTCCCATTTTGAGCAAAAACAGATGTGCACATTGACCTTGCTCTCTACAACTGCTGCTCTGCAGCAAACAGATTCTACTGCTGTCTTCAGTCCTCACTACGTGTCAGGAGGCATGCCAAATCTTTACCAAAGAATTAAAACCCTTTCAAAATGAGGTACCACTGCAGGCTTGTTTGTTCAACAGCCCTGTTAACCCTCTGCTTCCTTAATTCCCACTCATCCACCAATGACTCTCCTTGCTGGCTGCATAGAATTGACCTTTAGTACAAGAAACAGCTATGCCAAAGTCCATTCCCACAGCTTCTCATTTCATTGGTCCAGGGGGAGACCCAGGCATGAGAACTAGAGAGTCTACCCAGATACTTCCTGTTGTTAGGTCTGAGTATCACTGGGCAATTTGAATTAGTATCGGAGACTATCAAAGGTTTTTTCTTTTGAGATATTGTTAAAGAAATCACTGTATTAAGAGATTTCTGTATGGGCCTCCCCGGTGGCGCAGCGGTTGAGCGCTGGGTTGCGAAGCTGCCCGCGGCCTCTGCAGCGCCGGTTCGATCCCCAGCTGCTCCCCGGCCACCAGAGGAGGGTCCCACACGGCACGCAGACCTCTCCTGCCGCCCGCTGCTCCCCTCAGCAGTGTACTTCGGTCCTTCTGCCTGCTCTGCTCCCCGCTCTGGCTCTGGTGAATTCTCTCACCCTCCCGCGCTTCTGACTGTACCCAGTGTATGTATAAACAAAACAAATAAATAAATAAATAAAAAACATGCCTCTATAAAAAAAAAAAGATTTCTGTATGGATGAAGTCTTCATACATACATGTGTTACTATTAAGGATGATTCAGTAGATCTCTCACAAATTCCAAAGCCACCTCATATGCTGCAGGTCTAAAGATAAGTCCTGAATTACCCTAAAAGGAAAGCATCACTAACTCTTTTATTCTCTTCCAGATTTACAATGTCCATTATACCATGAGTATCAATGGGAAATTACAAGATGGGTCAATGGAAATAGATGCTGGGAACAACTTGGAGACCTTTAAAATGGGAAGTGGAGCTGAAGAAGCAATTGAAGTTAATGATTTCCAGAATGTAAGTATATTTCATGCATTTAGAGAGTTTAACCAGACAGGCCTGGGAGACTTTTCTAATTCAAGGAGAAACAGTCTCTCTCACACTCCTCCAAATGGGAACTGTTCTTTCTGGCAGTCACAGTGCTGCCAATCCATATATATCACGCAACATATCCTTTCTGAGAAAGGACCACACTCTGTCCTTTATATTTCCAAAAGGAAAAAAAAAACACCTTGAAAAGAACAGTTCTTGGAACTATATAAAGTCTTGGCAGAAAGACTTGAAAGAGCCATTTCTTCCCAAGCAGCTTTCTATAACACAGTGAATAAAATGCTCCAGCTATCCTAGAACGTACAAGGACTGAGCGGGGAGTGGGGGTTCCTCTTTTTTTTTTTTTCCGCTTTATTGACTTGGCACTGTAGAATTTGGGAGTACAACTTCACACGTCCATATGCGGATGTGCCTCACTCACCCTCCATCACAGCTTCAGTGCCAGACCTTGTCCCCTGTAAAGGCAGGAAGGACCACAGTGCAGGTTTTCTGATCCCATGCAGACCGGGTAAAGGAGGAGTCAGAGTCCTCAGTAGTTTTGCAGGTTTTTTATTTGGGGTTCACCAGGCATATGGCAGGCAAGGGTGCTGGCTGGGGGGCTGGGAGGCTGGTAGGCCCCAGCAAGTCTTCACTCTATCTGGGCTCTCTAGCGTTTGTTCTGCTGCTTCTCGGCTTCGGCTTCGGCTTCGGCTTCGGCTTCGGCTTCGGCTTCGGCTTCGGCTTCGGCTTCGGCTTCGGCTTCTACTGCTACTGCTGCTGCTGCTGCTTCTGCTGCTGCTGGCGTCCCCGTGACGCCGCCCTTAAAAGCACAGTCTTAGCTCAGCTGAATCCCATCTACCTATGCCCACACCCTATTCCAGGTGCCCGCCATCAGGCATGCATTCAGGACAAGGATCCATCATCTATCCTGATGGCGGAAGGGCAGAAAAGCCTGATATTTTCTTTACCCTACATCCCCCCACCCCCCGCATTCCCTCATATTATTCGTAGAGTCTGAGAATTACTCTTGTTGTTTCGCCAGTTTGTTCTCTTTGGTTATTTATATTCTACAAGTGAATGAGAAGATCAGAAATTTGAATTTATGGAGGGAAATTTTAATGACCTAATAATCTGATCAACAACAGGTGGGATTTATTTACATACTTTTCTCAGTTCTTCAGATTTCCCATTTAAACCAGAAAATTAGCCAGAAGAAACTCTCCTATTATATCATGTTTTCTGACCATGGCCTATTACAGATAAAACATTCAAGTCCCCTTTGAAAAGGGCAAACATGTTTGTTTTCAAAAATTCAATTTACAGGCAATCTTAGACATTAAGCTATGCATCAATGTTTCAGTGTATATCTGCAAACCAAAATGTCACTCCCAGCCTATTTTCCTGTTGGCCAACATAAATATCTTATTCTCTTTCATGTTCTAAGATGAGGAAGAAGCATCGCTGTTTGTGTTCTTCTGTTAAATCTGTAGATGGAGTAGGTGAGACTTTGTAATGAAAAAAGACTCTTGAAAATAATTCCCTTCTGATAGTTTATTGGTCTACAAACATCTCATCGACCGTCTTCCTCTGATTGATGAGAAAAACTGAGATGTTTTTCATTTGACTGAAAGAACTCCCCTTGTTGATACCAAAGTACACTTCACAGGTCCTTTTGAATACCAAATAGATGCTAACTTTAGAGCCCCAGTGATGTAAGATATCATTTGGCGATGGCAAGATCTGGCTGTGTTCAGATTGGACTTTGCCCTGAGGACAGGCTCTGCAGCCCTGTGTGTGCCCAACTTCACTTTGCTTAATCCTGCCTTTGCAAATGGTTCTGGTCGATGCACAAGGATGATTTCTCTGGACCTATTAAAGACGTTTACTGCAAGACCCAGGACAAGGTAAAAACCTTTTTTCCCCATTGTACTGTTCAATATAAAATATGAGATGTGGCTCCCCCACACACATCAATTCAATTTTGAAGAAAATTGAATGCCCATGATGTGCCACAATATCAAGATTTGCAAAGGCAGCTACACAGATGAATAAGAAAAGATTCATCTCTCTCCAGATATGCATGTATCAGGAGTATAGTTTTAAAATATTTTAATCCCAAACCTGTATTTTTACTTTATAATCCTTTGGCTTTAATACGGGTATTGATTGTATTTTGTTCTCACAGGCCAACAGGGCTACAAATATTTTATAAACTGATCAATTCTCTTTGATAGCTTCCACATTTCTCTAAGTCAGAACTGGTGAGTAGAACATTTTTTTGATGGATAGAACCTGTTATGGGTTTAAACAAGCCTGAATTTTTGAAAACACATGAATCAGCCATGATGGTACCTATTCTACTACTTTCTCCTGTGTTTTCACCCATCAGTGAAATACCAGAGGTATTTATTGAGGCCTACTGCATGCAAGGGATGGCTCTAAGCATGAAGGATGGGAAGTGACTGGCACTTGTCCCCTCCCTCAAGGACCTCACCAGCCAGTCCAGGAGACACTCAGAAGTGGCATCAGGTCAACTTGGGAAATGTAACAGATCTGTCAACAGAGCTGTGGAGTACAGCGAGGAGGCAATGGCTGCTAATTAGGGGTTAGGAGCAGGTTTTACACAGGTGATTACAGTTGAATCAGGTCTTAAAGAACAATTAGGACTTCAAGTAGCAAAGAAAGAGGGGCAAGGCTTCCAAGCCCAGGGTCGAGTACTGAATAAATGCGCAGGCCTACTCTGGAGTTCTAAGTAGCCCAGTATGGCAGAGCAGTGTGGGGTGGGAAGGAGTTGGGGGCTTAGGGGGGTCAGATTTGGAAAGGTTCTGCCTTGCAGCTATTCAAGTCTCCTCTGTTAACTCTGGATCCAGCAAGGATTTAGTAGCATTCAGTGGGAAAAGAACACTCTTTGGAGGAAGGGCACCACGCAAAGGGCTCCAGGCTCTATACTGGTCAAGAAAAATTGAGTCCCGGCACTTGTTAAAGATAAAGCAGACTTTATGGGGGTGGGGGTGGGAGGGTAACTAGTACAGTGGGGATTTGTAGTAGAGCAGAGAGATCAGACCCAAGTCTGAATATAATAAAGAAAAGTGGGGATTTATTGCCAAGGAGCAAGGTGGGGGTGTTGGTAGATGGAAAATTAGTAGAAGATAGTGATTCTTTGCTAAACTGACTTTATGCGATTTTTTCTTTTTCTTTTTTAAAGATTTATTTTTTATAAATAGCTGGGGTACAGGCTAGAGATGTGGGGGGGGGTGAGAGGATTCACCAGAGACAGAGTGGGGAGCAGAACAGGCAGAGGGACTGAAGCACACTGCTGAGGGGAGCAGTGGGCGAGGCAGGAGAGGTCTGCCACACCATGTGGCACTCTCCCTGGCTGGCCGGGAATTGAACCGGCATAAACCAGCACTGCAGAGGCTGCAGACAGCTTCACAGCGCTGCTCTCAACCCCCTGAGCCACCGGGGAGGCCCAAGATTTTTTCTAAAGGCAGGCCAGGATGATAAGATCAAGGCGGGTAGTCAGACTAAGGGTGACTTTGTTACAGGACAACCCCAAAGGGAAATGGGATGGCTAGGGTGTGAGTCCTCACCAGCCCACTTTAAAAAAAAAACTGAACAAGACTCAAGGGCAGGGACCTCCCCCGTGGCGCAGCGGTTGAGTGCTGGGCTGCAAAGCTGCCTGTAGCCTCTGCAGCGCCAGTTCCATCCCCAGCCACAGGTGAGGGTCCCACATGGCGCGCAGACCTCTCCTGCTGCCCGCTGCTCCCCTCAGCAGTGTACTTCGTCAGTCTGCCTGTTCTGCTCCCCGCTCTGGCTCTGGTGAATTCTCTCACCCTTCCGTGCTTCTGACTATACCCAGTGCTTGTATAAATAAATAAATCTTTTAAAAAAAGAAAAAGACTCAAGAGCAGGCACACAGAAAAATGTTAATAGAAGGCTTATTTACAAGGGAACTCAAAGAGGGGAAGGAGAGACACACACAGAGAGATATTAATTGGCCAATGATGCTTCCTGAGCTGGGACCCCAGGTGCACACTGAAGATAGGTTAAAAACCAACCTCCTCCAGGCCCACATGTATTCAGGTTTTTTTTAACCAAACATGGCTGCTTAACTCCACCCTAGTTCCCAGCAATGCCCCCTTCAATAAGAGTCATGGCAGACTCACGGCATAATGGGAGTTGTAATCCTTGTGATATCGGAATTGTCAGGCCTAGTCTCCCAGCCAGGAACGGATCCCAGGCTGCTGAGCAGCAGCTGGGGCAGCGCTGAGCCCCAGCCACTAGACCCCCACGGGTTGGTGTCTCACGAAGCCGCAGCAGGAACTTCGCAGACGCTCAGGCAAGCAAGCGAGAAGAGGCAGGTTCGTTTATAGAAAGAAAAAGTTTATTGAGGAGGAAAAGAGCAGAAATAAAGTGGGACTCCCAGGCCAGGGAACCAGGCCTGGGAGGGGCAAGGAAGCCCAAGTAGAGTCGTGTCTTAGGGAATATATACCTTTTTTCCCTCATTATTCTAAAGCTGCCCCAGTCTCTTTGTGATTGGTCAGTTCTCGGCTGTCTCACTCAATTTGCTACTGAGTGGGGATCTTCACATTCCTTATCTAACAGGTTTCTCTTTCCCCATTTGTTGCATCTTTAAATTTATGGCCCAGTCCTCTGGATGGGCATCCCTGCATTGAAGTTAAACAGCTGCCCTTTTAATGTGACCATAAATTAAACCACTCTCCATTTCTCCAATCTCCGCCTCCCTTTACCACCTGAAGGAAACCAGGACCAGCATTAACAATGTTGTCCTTGGTCCTGGCATGTTTGTTTTTCCTAATGGAATTGGTTATATTTCTTTGGTTGTCCTTATCTCTGAAGCCTCCCTAAATTCTTCAGAGGTCCCCTCCTGCACTGTCCCTAAAACTGCCTAATAACCCTAGCGTGCCCTGTCTCACTTGGTTCCTGGGATCTCTTTGGCATGGAGGTAGAGGTGGGATCCATAAAATATCAGCCGGTACATTTCATTCATGACACACTGTTCCCCCAACCACTCCACAGGATTCTTGCTTAAAGTGGGAGAAACTGGGCCTCCCCGGTGGCGCAGCGGTTGAGCGCTGGGTTGCGAAGCTGCCCGCGGCCTCTGCGGTGCCGGTTCGATCCCCGGCTGCTCCCTGGCCACCAGAGGAGGGTCCCACATGGCGCGCAGACCTCTCCTGCCGCCCGCTGCTCCCCTCAGCAGTGTACTTCGGTCCTTCTGCCTGCTCTGCTCCCCGCTCTGGCTCTGGTGAATTCTCTCACCCTCCCGCACTTCTGACTGTACCCAGTGCATGTATAAACAAAACAAACAAACAAATAAATAAATAAATAAAACATGCCTCTATTAAAAAAAAAAAAAAATAAAAAAAATAAAGTGGGAGAAACTGACCAAGATAGAACCCAAGATCAGCTGTAGTCAAAAAGAAGATTCAGGAGATTGATTAGTATAGGTCTAGGATAGTCTTTGTCAATACTCTGAGAAACACAAAAAGTGGATTAATTCATAGTGTATGATTACTCTAGGTATAACTCTAGAAAGTTATTCCTCAAGAGCCAGACTTCTCAGACCTAATAACCCATTCTGGTTAGAAAATAAGATAGAATAAACTGGTGAGTATATACAGGTGAGTACATAAACGAAAAAGGAGGAAACAGAATACATACCCTCTTAAATAGGTAGGTTATTGATTTCAAAAATTAGTACGGCCCTCAACTATCACAAAAAGGAAAAGGAAAAAAAAGTAATTTATAATAAAATTTGGGCTGCAGTATGTAAATGCTCAACCTGATGTACTTGAAGTCATCATAAAATCATGTTTGCTTCCAGTAGTTGAATCACTATCAGTAACCTTCAGACATAGCAGGTTTTGGCAAATCAAATACCAGTTCTTTTTCTCGGAGTGAATAAAAAGAGTACCAGTTTCTCACCATTTTCACAGTAATTGCATTCCTACAAAATTCATTGTACATTAAGACTATGCCAAAAATCACTTTGTGTTTATATGTAAAACTGTCTTAGGTTCTAGGATCAGATACTATAGAACTTTTCATGCAGGGCCTCAGGGCAGTCAGCTCTTGCAAGGAAAGACCAGGAATGTCTCTGATCTTTGTGACAACAAAAAACTCTTCCAAAGATTTCCAAAGCGTTCCCTCAGGGGAAGGACTCCTTGTCCTCCCAGGAACTTCTGGTTTAAGCCACAAAAATAGATGAGATCTCCTAGAGAGAAAAAAATGTGTGGCTAAAATGAGATTAATGGTCTCAATAAAAGAGTGTCAGATCATTGGACTCTTCACTCATTACTTTTGTTAAAAAATTTCTTCATTATCACCAGCTTCTAAGGCCTTGTTTGCAAAACCAGGAGGTTTGCTTGGCTTTCTTATGCTTTCATTTTCTCTGTTTAATCTCTTTATATATCTCACTGCTTGATGTGGATTTGTAGCTAGACATGGTGGTTAGTATGTGTGAATTCACTCCCTCGGGACCCATCCCTGTGGGGTTTCAGTTCTCTCTGCAGTGTGTAGACCGTCAGAACTAACTCAATACTAGATGCACATTGAGGGTGTGAATCCTTCAACACAGAATCAACTCTCTCCTTTGGGGATATGGTAATGGTACATGGCATTTCCTCTCCTTCACTTTTATTTGGATGATATGAGAGTTTGAAGTCAAGAGAACATATCCCATAACGGGGAAGAAGCTCCCTCCCTGCCTTCTGTTTTTCAAACTAGGAGTCCTAAATTTATATGCAAAATAAAAGCAACAGACCTTCAGGAGGTAACATAGGAAAGAGCAGTAGTTCACAAAGTGTGTTTCCAAGGACACCAACAGCAGAAGCACCTAAAAGCCTGTCAAAGACACAAAGTTTATGCCCCACTATAGATAGACTAAATCAGAAACTCTGGAGGTGGGCCCAACATTGTTTTATTTAGCAAGTCTGATAATTCTGATGCAAGGGCAAATTTGTGAACCACTGGCACAGAAGAAACTTGGGTCGAAAGGCTATGTGTTAGTCCACTCGAGCTGCTATGACAAATTACCAAGCTGGGTGACTTACAAACAACATAAAGTTATTTCTCACAGCTCTCAAAGCCAGGAAGTCCAACATAAAGGTGCTGGTAGTCAGTGGCGAGTCAGGGTGTGCTTCCTGGCTCATAGACAGCCACCTTTGGACTGTACCCTCACATGGCAGAAGGGATGAGAGAACTCTCTGAAGCCTCTTTTATAAGGGCACTTACCTATGAACTCATCACCTCCCAAAGGCCCCACCTCCAAATACCATCTTTAAATGATTAGGTTTCCACAAAAAAAATGTTTGGGGGAGGGTGGGCACAGTCTGTAGCAGGCCATTTCAGTCATTAAAAACTCTTACCCTGGGGCCTCCCTGGTGGCGCAAGGGGTTAAGCACAGCACTGTGAAGCTGTCCGCAGACTCTGCAGCACAAGTTCCATCACCGACCTGCCAAGGAGCTACCCACATCACAGCAGACCTCTCCTGTCTCACCCGCTGCTTCCCTCAGCAGTGTATTTCAGTCAGTCTGCCTGTTGTGTTCCCCACCCTGTCTCTGGTGAATCCTCTCACCCCCCGCACCTCTGGCTTGTACCCCAGTTCTTGTATGCATAAATAAATAAATCTTTAAAAAAAATACACACACACACAAAACTGTTACCCTGAACAAAATCCTTTCCCCTACACTGTAGTCCTCAGGCTGGTGTATGTGAGAAACACCAAGGAACCCTTTAAGCTTATCAGTATGAACACCACCCAGGCCAATTAAATAGGAATCTCCTGAAAGACACCCAGGCATCTCTGGTTTTAGAAATTCCCCAGGTGATTCTGCTATGGTGAGTCATGACCTCTGCAGTCAGCCTGGAGTTCCTTGACTGTAAAGCAGGGTATTCTGCAGCCACCCCAGGCTCAGTAGTTTCATCGTCAATTCAGGCAGCTTAAAAGAGAAAGCCCTTGGCATCATCCCCACAGGTTAGCAGAAACAAGCCAGCAAGGAGACAGCAACTTGGGCCCTCCTGCAAACCTCTCTGTGTTCTTTCCTCTCGTAGCTGTTCTCGGCAAGCTCTCCACTGCTCTCCATCCTCTGCGACGCCGCCCTTACAGCACAGCCTCCCAGCTCAGGTGTGCCCACTTACGCTTGCGCATATCATACTCCAGGTGCCCGCCATCAGGCATGGGTACCCCGAGCCCATGGTCCCAAGCACCTCCTGCATCCAAGGCCGCAGGTGATAGCCGCAGAGGCTAACAGTACAAAACCTGAGCAATCTTCGTTTATCCTACACAGAGGCAAGGCCACCACGTGTCTTTGGTTGAGAGGGGATGGTGGGAGCAAAAAGTGAAGCAAGTCACCTATATGTACAAGGCCAAATCAGGCCACAAGAAAAATAATGAGGAGTTTCAGCTCTCTCACCCACCAGCTTCGTGGGGCTCCTGGCTCTGAGTGACTTATGACTGGCCTACATAACATTCCATGAATGTCCACAAGTGTGACTTGCTTTTTACTGCATTCTTCACTTAAGGGCACTGAATCCTGAGCCAGGCCCCTGGGTTTCTAAATGCTTTTCTTCTCTGCTTCTGTGGCATTGACACAGGAACAAGTTCCATATCCTCCCAACATTTGCCTGAACCCAACAAGGTTTGGAGTTGTGTTGGTGTCTACAATATTATGGCATGAAATTTTCAGTCCTTTAATACAGTTTTTGGCCACTCGCTCATTTTGAAATTAATCAGCAGGGTGAAAGTAACCATTCTGGGGACAGTGCACAGTGTCCCTGGTGCACTGCATGTGCAGAAGCAGTGCCGAGTTCTCAGCCAAGACCTGCACCTGCAGCGCGCCTTCCCCTGGAGACTGGTCCCTTGGCAGAGGAGGAGACATTGTTTATACCTCAAGGGGACAAAACAAAACAAGTCCCTGGGTACAGTCTAGGATCAGAGTTTAGCTCCTGGTGTTGTAGAAAGGCTTGCTGTTCATTCTGGGCTCAATAAATCAGGAAAAATCAGAATTCATGGAATTCACTCATTGAATTGACATCTTCTGAGAACTTTTGTAGGATCATTAAAAAGATGGAAAAACAAATCCAGACACTGATCTGAAGTTTATAATTGAGTAGGGAGATGACATTCACAAAGAGCTACCATCTGGGCAGTGTGAACTCTACTAAGCAGGGGCTGAGACGGGAGGGCTTACCAGAAATCAGAGCAAAAAATATATGCTTGAGGGCCTCCTGTTGGTGCAAGGGGTTAAGATGCAACCAATGAAGCTGTCTGCAGCCTCTGCAGCGCGGTCCCAGCCGGCCAGGGAGCTACCCACATGGCGAGGCAGACCTCTCCTGATTCGCCCACTCCTCCCCTCAGCAGTGTATTTCAGTCAATCTGCCTGTTCTGTTCCCCACTCTGTCTCTGGTGAATCCTCTCACCCCCCACACCTCTGGCCTGTACCCCAGTTCTTGTATGCATAAATAAATCTTTTTATAAAAATGTACACTTGACCTGGCATAGTCAAAGAAACCTGGTAGAAATGCTGCATTTTATCTGAGCTTGTGGGTGCAAATGGAGCAATTAACATACTTCTCTTAAAGGCCACCCTGATCACGCTGCCTGCAGTGTGATCCCTCACTCCCATCTCACACTGTTTTATTTTTCCTATAGTGGTTTTCACCACCTGGCTTTGTCTCTATTTTTGTTTATTGGTAAGTGAGGCTAAAAGGTAAGCTCCATGAGGGCAGAGAATCCATCTTTCTCTGTTCATCCTATACCCAGTACCTGGAGCAGTGCCTGGCTCACAGTAAACAGTCCTTGAATTAGTGAATGGCTGGATAGATGGATGGATAAACTTTTGTCTTCTAGGGCATCACAGGAATCCGTTTTGCTGGAGGGGAGAAGTGCTACATCAAAGCCCAGGTGAAGGCTCGCATTCCTGAGGTGGGCACTGTGACCAAACAGAGCATCTCTTCTGAACTGGTAGGTTCCATGTGCTCCAGATAGCAAGAGGGCTTGTTTAAAGACAGCCATTTCCATACTTAGTTCCTTGATAAGTTCACGACCAGAACCTACGTTCTGTTTCTTCTCTGCAGATGAATTTAAAGTCTTGTGGTCCTACTGATGGTTCCAAGTAATTATACTTACATGACATAGTATATTTAAAGGCTTAAGGAAACCATATTTAAAGTGTGTCAAAGGTCTTGGTGTTCAGATGGCCCTTGTTTGCCCGATGTTAGCAAGCCAAATGATCAGTGATGAAGGTGGCATAAAGGACTCCACATGATAGAAGCTTTATCAAAAGGGCATCAGGAGACTCTTGCCTCAGTTCCACTCAGTATGGGAATTCCTCAGTAGGTGATCACCCAGCTTCCTCTGGAAAGCAATGTACAGCGTTTCCTCCCTGTGTCAGGCAACTTCACTGGAGGTGGTTCTAATTGTTTTTCCTGACTGTGAGCTGAGACAGCTCTCCCTACAGTGTCTTCCCATTAGTTCCAGTTCAGCCCTATGAACTTAGACAATATCTATCAAATTCCTTTTTTTAATGTGTCAAACTTGTGAGGATTTTAAAACATAATTCTATTTATTATTAATAACTTGCCTTTGAGTTCATTTTAAAAAATGAACTTTTTTAGAATTTCACATAGAGATCTAATGACACATTTAAAAATAATGCCCTACATGTATTTGATACTTTAGGGCTTACAAAGTGGTTACATTCACTCTGGACTTCCATTTAAATAGTAGCAGAATATGGAGGAAAGGAGTAGCCTTTGGAGTCAGAAAAACATGGGTTCAAATCCCAGCTCTGACCCTTCCTATGTGTTGATGTGGCTTCAACTCTTTGAGCCACAGTTTGTCATCTACCAACAAGAATACTGTCCCTGTAGCCACTGGAACCTCCTAGATGATGAATAGATGATCGTTGCTACAATTATTAATTTTATTGTGATCCCCTTTGAGCCTCTCAGTATTCCTAAGAGGGAGCTGAAGCAACTACCAGTTCCCTCAAGGCAAAAGAGGAAAAATAACGGTAAATAAAGGTGCCTGGAAACTGCCCGAGTGTTTGCCCTCCTAGGAGCAGCAGCAGGCGTTGTCTCAAAACAAAGCTAAACGAGCTAAAAACAAACCTGGGAGCTTTTTTAAAAAAATCATGTTATTGAGGTAAAGTTGTTTTACAACACTGTATATGTTTAGGGATATCAGGTCACACCTGTACAAGTGCCTGTTACCACACCAGGCCCACCACCAGAGCTGAGTTATCTCCCACCCCCGTCCCACAGTCCATTCAGGCCCCTGCCCTCCTTTGCACCCACCCCACCCCTACCCTTTCCTGAAGCCTCTGTTTTGCAGTCAGATTTCAAGGGTTTGTTTTGGTTTGACTTTGTATTTTCCTTTGTTTGGCTTCTTTATATTCCACACATGAGTGAAATCATTGTGTACATGTCTTTGTCCTGACTTACTTTGTTTAGCATCATTCCCTCCCGTTCCATCCATGTTGTTGCCAATAGCAAGACTTCATCTTTTTATAGCTGTGTAGTATTCCATTATGTACATCTACCACAATTCTTTCTTCACTCCTTTGTCCTTGGGCACTTAGGTTGTTTCCACAGCTTGACTATAGTAACTACTGCTGGCAGTGAACGTAGGAAAGCAGAGATCCCTTCAAAGTAGTGGTTTTGTATTCTTCAGGTAGATACTAAGGAGAGGGATTTCTGGATCATGTGGCAGATCTAATTTTTAATGTGTTGAGAATCTCCATACTATTTTTCTTAGAGGCTGGACAAATCCACATCCCCACCAACAGTAAGTAAGTGTAACTTTTTCTCTACATACTTGCCAACATTTGCTATTTCTGGTCTTTTTGATACTGGCCATTCCCAGAGGTGTGAGGTAGTATCTTATTATGATTTTGATTTGCATTTCCCTGATGGTAAGTGATAAGGAAAATTTTTTTCATGTACCCGTTGAGTATCTGTATGCCTTCTTTGGAGAAGTATATATTTAACACCTCTGCCTACTTCTCTGATGGGGTTATTTTTTTGTTTGCATTGTATTAGTTCTTTGGAGATTTTCGATATTAGATGTATGTCAGATGTGTGATGTGCAATTTTTTGCTCCCATTTATTAGTGTATCTTTTTCTGCCCCTTTCTTGCTGCGCTGTCATTCCTGCCAGGACCCTTTCTCAGGCTTACTGCTCCTTCCAGTGGTCTCTGTTTCACCTCCTTGTGCCAGTCATCAAGCCCCCAGTTCTCTTCAAGTGCAGTTTCTCCTGTCTGTTTCGTCCATGGAGAACAAGACATGCCAGGCTTCTACTAGTCCATCATCTTAGATCAGCTACCAAACCGGGGAATTTTTAAAGCTGGCTGTCATGTCCTGTGTCTTCTCCTTCCGACTCCCAGTTTCCCTAACCATCCTGGGACATGTTTTCCAGAACCTTATTGCTCTAGTTATCCTCCTTGGGTCATGTTACAGTGTTGCTCCCAAACTGTGCTGTTCAGAACCCAAGGCAGAATTGTTCGTGTGAACCTCCTAGCACAGTGTGTAAACAAACCAAGGCCTCCTGTATTCTGACCCTTGAACTTTTCTTACTGCATTGCCTTTTTTTTTTAAGTCATGTCACTCAATTTCTGTTAAGAAACCTATAGTTTCTTAGAAATCCCTGACATTCCTCCATAAGGAGACATTTCTTCTCTCCTGTTATCAAGGACCACCTCTCCAGCCAGAGCTAACCCCTATCAAATCAGAAGTTGGCAGTACATTTCCTGGGCTTTTCTCAAATACAAATTTTTCTTCCTGATTTCTTTGTAGTAAATTTGGGAAAGACATGAAAGAGAAAAAAAATCACCCACAATTGTATAGTCCACAGCTAGCTAATGTTAGTGTTCTGGTGAATTTGTTTCATGTTCTGGTGATATTCTTTTCATAATCGAAATTATGCTGTTGTACATTCTTATTATTTTCACTTCGTTTTAATTCTTTGAAAATGTAGATTATAATGGATGTGTTGTATGTCATATGATTATAATTTTAAGTCTTTTGTTCTTGAATACTTCAAATATCCTCAATTTTTCATTGTCAAATAATAATTCAAAATCATTTTTATATTCACTGTGGTGAGTAGTTTTGTATTTAAATATTTGTCTGCATCTAATTCTTTTTTTAGCCCATAGAAATAGATTATTTTTCTTGTGTTTTAGTTGTTTGTACTGTGCATGATGAATGAAACCACATTCAGACAAAATGTTTGTGTGAATTAAGAATGTGTTTGGCTGTCAGTGGCAGGAGATCACACTAAGAGTGACTTAAACAAATAGGGATGTTTTCCACCACAGCACAGATCATGGAGGTAGGTAAATGCAGGCATTGACTCAATGGCCGGCATCGCAGAGTTTTTGGCCTTTCCTCGTGGTTCCAAACATCAACCATGCATACCAGGAAGAAAGTCAGGAAGAGGAGGAGTGGTGCCAACCAAGACTTCTCTTGAGCTAGGGAAAGCAAAAGGCTTCCATCCCGCCCCCCGCCCCTGCACACTTCAGCCTGGATCTCATTGGCTAGAGCAGGTCACACAGGCACCCCTCACTGCTGGAGAGGCCAAGAAAACCAGTGTCTTTTCTAGCAACAGACGTATTATCTCCTCAAACAAAAGCAGGGTTGTGTGCAAGGAAAAGGAGGGAGGAAGGAGAATTGGGTTGGTCATTCAGCATATATGCCACAGTTTATTAACATTCCTCACTTGTGGGTTGCTTGTATATGCATTATCCGACTCGCCCCACTCTGCCCCCACTTTAGATTATGATGGGGTAGATTTATGCACCACTTCTTGCTCTCATAAATTTTTCATTAGTTTTATATAACTTTAGAAAGCTACTATACCCAAAGAGCATTCATTTCCTGCATGCATCCATTTAATTTAAGGTAAATAACTGGATTACCTGAATGTTAGCTTCCTCCAATAACTTTAAGTTGTTTTAATGCAGCCATGTGCCTGGGGGAGAAAGCATAAATGAAGTGCTGCTTTTAGCTAAAAATAAGAAGAAAACATTTTAATATCTCCAACCTATTGCAAAAACATAAGCACATGAAAGGAACAAACTGGCAAAATAAATTTGTCTCCTGGGTTATCAAACCATTCTCAGCATCTTGCCATAGAAGTAAATCCAGGGTTTAGCTTTGAAATCTCTGTGGTGTGCTTGATGTGAGGAACATCTGAAATATGTTTTGTTATAGCTGGGAAATGTAGAAATGGTTTATGTTAAATAATACTTTGAACTCAAGACATTAAAGAACCAATCACTTTTTTTTTCCATTGTTGTTCGGGAGCTGCAGAACAAAACCCCAAAGGATTTTCACTTCAAATGAAAGGTTCCTCTATCCTTTATAAGATTCCAGGGTCCGTTCAATTGCTTTTCCTCAAAATCATCTTTGATCAAAAACATCAGATTAACCCAAATCTCAAAGTTGGTATCAAGTAATTTTCACTTCTACTCAGGATACTCAGATTCACACATTCCAGCTACCCAAAGGCAGGGTGACATGAGGAGGGATGTTGAATATTGTGAATACAACTCCAAAGAAAACATAGTAGAACCTTCCAGCGTATGTGCATGCCCACATGTGCACAGGCACACACGCATACACACACACTCATTAAATTGTCATACGATAGGGGCCTCCATGGTAGCTTGAGGATTAAGTCTCAGCGCTATAACTGCTGTGGCCTGAGTTCAATCCCCAGCCAGGGAGCTAACCCACATGGCACAGCAGACCTCTCCTGTCTTGCCCACTACTCCCCTCAGCAGTGTATTTCAGTAGACATGCTTGTTCTGCTCCCCACTCTGTCTCTGGTGAATCCTCTCATCCTACCCCCTGCACCTCTGGCCTGTACCCCAGTTCTTCTATGCAGTGAGTCTTTTATTAAAAAAAGTTGTTGTGAGACAAAATAACATTTTACTATGTGAATCTTAATATGCAGCCAATTTCGACTGTCCTCTTCGCTCAGTGTATTTCATTTTTACTTTCTCACAGGAAGGCAAGATCATGCCAGTTAAATATGAAGAAAATTCTCTCATCTGGGTGGCTGTAGACCAGCCTGTGAAGGACAACAGCTTCCTGAGCTCTAAAGTCTTGGAACTCTGTGGCGACCTCCCTATTTTTTGGCTTAAACCAACATACCCAAAAGGTAACATTTTAAATTACCTTAATCTGCTTGGAATTCTCCCCGTTCTCATGTGAGGTTCCTGGAACCCTCCACAGGCCTGGCCAGGTAACAGGGAGGATAAATCAGGATGCACGTCACAGTGCCACAGCGTGGCAGTAATTGGCAGGGGAGCTCAAAGGGAAGGGAAATGACAGCCATGAATGTTATGGGTTAGGACGGAGCCACCAGGTTAACAGGAATCAGATTAGAACAGCTGCATCAACTGCAGTTTTTATTTATGACACTCCCTCTTCTCTCCCCTCTGCCCCTTCATTTCAGTTGTTTGCACTTTTCAATTTTACATTTTTTATTCCTAAGGCATAGAGTCGAGGGACCAAAAAGCTGTCATACCACCAAATCTTTATTGTGTTCATCCTTAGACTTATGGGTACAGTTGAGATTCCTCAAGTTCAAGACTTGAGCATCAGCTTCCAAGTCTGGTGAAAATAAACAAAGCGCCCCTGGGATTCAGAGCTAGGTTGGAACATATTTTTGAGCTATTTCCGGTGGGGACGGGCAGCTGTATGCTGTGGGCCTGGCTCTTTCCCCTGAGGTTGTCCATCTCCAGAGGTACACGCTCTTATTTCACCCACACTTATGTCATCCCACTGGCTCCCAAAGGTCTATTTTGTAACGCTGTCGCAAATGTGGACGAAAGGCCTTTCTTCTAGCACAACTGAGATAGGACGTGTTTTCTGAAAGATGTTATTGAACACTGAGAGAAAACAGCATGGAAATAAAGAAAATACTGGCACTAAACCACCATGCTTAGGAGGAGGAATGGGCAGTTACTGTTTAATGGGTGCAGAGTTTCAGTTTTGTAGATGAAAAAAGTTCCAGAGGTAGATGGAGGTGGTTATTGCGCAGGATTGTGAATTACTTAATGTCACTGAAGAGCACGCTTAAAAAGGTTAAAGTGCTGTAAATTTTGTGTCTATTTTACCACAGTTAAAAAAAAAAAAAAAAAAAAAAAAAGCGGATCTGACCCCAGGTTTACAAAGCCAGGCTTCTAGGTCTGCTAAGGCTAACTTACTCCTACAGCTCACAAGTCATCTTGTTGTTCCAAAGTTTGGATAAAATGGTTACTTTCTAGCCCAGACACAGCACATCGGATGCAATTTGTAAGCCACTGGCAGTAGCTTTCTGGAAGAGTGGGTTGAGGGGGACCCCAAGACTACATGCAGGCTTGGTGAGAAAGGATGCTGAGAGCAGTGTGTGCCACACTCAGGGGCCTGGGGAGGGGCTGTCATGTGGAATGTCACTTTTGCCAGCCCTGCCTCTTGCCCCAGTGGGTGGTTGCAGCTCACAATTCCGTGATACTTGCCTCATTCTGACTTTGAGTCCTCCACCTGTCTCCATCTGGAATGGGTCTTCCTACATTCCATTTCCCAGGAACTCCTCCAATACCTTGTCACCTTCCACAGCCAAGGACAAGTCTCTGACTCTGCCACCATGTAGAGCTCTCCCTAGTCCTTTCTGTTGGAGGACACATCTCTTATCCATGGAGTTCATTCATTCATTGAGCAAACATTTCATGAAAGCCTATAATGTACCATTTACTCATTTTAGACACTTGGGGTGCACTGGTGATGAGAATAGCTGAGGAGCCAGGCAGGCCCTCGAAGGGAGACAGTAAATCAACATTGAATTAAAACAGAAGACTGAGGGCCTCCCCGGTGGCGCAGCGGTTGAGCGCTGGGTTGCGAAACTGCCCGCGGCCTCTGCGGCGCCGGTTCGATCCCGGGCTGCTCCCCGGCCACCAGAGGAGGGTCCCACATGGCGCGCAGACCTCTCCTGCCGCCTGCTGCTCCCCTCAGCAGTGTACTTAGGTCCTTCTGCCTGCTCTGCTCCCCGCTCTGGCTCTGGTGAATTCTCTCGCCCTCCCGCGCTTCTGACTGTACCCAGTGCATGTATAAAACGAAAACAAACAAACAAATAAATAAATAAATAAAACATGCCTCTATTTAAAAAAAAAAAAATGTATGGCTAAGCATTTAAAAACAAACAAACAAAAAAAAAAACAACAGAAGACTGAAAACAAACCCTAGAAATCATGACTACAGAACTGAGGCTACCAGAGGGGGGTTTGGGGTGTGGAAAATGAGGGAAAGGGGCTCAGAGGACTCTGATGGAGCATTAGGGGTGCCTTGGTGGCGGGTGTGTGTGGTAGCATACATATGAAGAGGTGTGAACCTGTACTCCTAAATCATATACAGTGTGGAAAGTCAACATTACCTCAATAAAAAAATTTAATATTTAAAAATTCCTAAAATAAGTTGTATGGTATGATGGAGATGCTATGGAAAAATAATGGAGCCGGGCAAGAGAGCTGGAGTAGGGATGGAAAGACAGCGCTACTGGTGATTCTAGAAGGGCTGACAGAATGAGAACCTTCACACTTTGGAAAAGAGCTTGTTCTCAACATCCAAGATTCAGCTTGATCCTCACAGATCAACTACAAGGCCCCAACTTCAGTGTTCGATCATCGCAGCCTCTGCAATGCCAGTTCGATCCCTGGCTGCTCCCGGGCCACCGGAGGAGGGTCCCACATAGCGCGCAGACCTCTCCTGCCGCCCGCTGCTCCCCTCAGCAGTGTACTTCGGTCCTTCTGCCTGCTCTGCTCCCCGCTCTGGCTCTGGTGAATTCTCTCACCCTCCCGTGCTTCTGACTGTACCCAGTGCATGTATAAACAAAACAAACAAACAAACCAGCAAACAAATAAATAAAGCATGCCTCTATTAAAAAAAAAAAATGAGGGCTTTTTATCACGATTGAAAACGTGTTAAGTGCGATAAGCCAGACACAAAAGGGCAGCCATTGTAGTATTGCACTTATGAGGTATCTAGAACAGAAGTAGATTGGTGGTTGAGACTGTAGAGACAGAAAGTAGAATGGTGGTTGCCAGGACCAGAGGAGGGGGTTAGGGAGCTGTCGAGGATAGTTTCTCTTTGGAGGATGAGAAAGAACTGCAAGGTGAGGAGATGGTGACACAGCGCTGAGAATGTCTTTCATGCTACTGAATTGTACACTTCAAAATAGTTTAGATGGCAAGTTTTATCTTGTGTGTTTTAGCACATTTACAGAATATCTATGTAAAAAAAAAAATTGCACAAGTAAAAAAATAGGGAATTCCCCCCAATCTTTAATAGTCACATTTTACAATAAAATCAAGACAATAAAACCCTCTCTGAGGATACCTGACTCCCCACCACCAAATCCTGACAAAAATCCCTGATTCAAGGGTCCAGCAGCCCCTGCCCTTGGATCTTTTGGCTACAGGTCATCACCATCACAGAGCTAAATCACAGAGACACTGAGAATGGCACCTGGCCAAGGTCAGAACAAAGGTCAGAGCTCCTAGCTGCTGAGCTCTGGCTGGGTGCCAAGCACTGAGCCAGAGCTTTAATTTTGTCATTTCTTACTTACTAACACCAACAGCTGTCTGGGTAACTTCTAATATAGCCATTAGACCGATGAAGAAACTAAGGCTCACAGAGATCAACTCGCTTGAGCTCATTCTATTAGTTAAAAGAGGTGGCGTTGAGGTCTGAATCCACATCTCCCTGATGCCTCTCCAACCATGCCTCTGAAACCAAGAAGCCATCTGTGGAAGCTCTCCCTGGCTGTTAATCATGTCTAAGTTCTCCTAAGTAACACAGCATGACATGATCATCATGTGATATGTTGAGTGCCTATTATGTGCTACACACTGCCACAAATCCTTAGATACAAAGTCTCGTTAACTCCAGATTTTTATCACTATCCTGTGAATTCATTACTATTGTCATCCCTATTTTACAGTAGAAACGTGCTCAGAGAGACGCCCAGCCACACTGTGATGCTCTCTCTTTTACTCAGCAGCCCCAAGTCAGGCTGCAGGCCTGTGAGGCAGTGTGGTTTACCAGAGCACTAGGCTGGAATTCCTCCAGAGAGGTTCACATTCAGCTCCTCTCTGCCACCTGTTCTATACTCTTGGTCAAGTCACTTGGTCTTTCTAAGCCCTCATGTATAAATACCTGCTTTAGTAACATACATCTGAAGATGCGAGCCCTACATCATATACAGTGTTGTAAACCAATGTTCCCTCAGTTAAAAAAAAAAGTTACAAAAAAAATAAAAATTCTGCTTTTTCTACCCCATAGGAGCTTTTAAAGAATCAGTCAAAATAACAAATTTTCCTAACTCTAAGTCTTTCTATCAATCCATTAGGGATGCACTGGGCTGCAAGCAACAGACTACCTAATCAACAGTAGTTTCAACAAGTACAGTTGATTTTTTCATGTAGCTGGGACTGTGGAGACTGATTTCCGGTATTATCGTCTATTCAGTGACAACATCAAGTCTCTTCCTCGCTTACCTTTTTGCAACCTGTAGCGTGCTGGCTTATTCTCATGCCTATCACTTCTGATCACAAGTTGCCTCTCAGAACCCAGAAGCACATCTCCATTCAAGAGAGGAAGACAGGACAGTAGAGGCCAAATCTGTCCCCTTTTACCAAAAAGCAAAAGCTTTCCCAGAAGCTACGCTAGCACATTCTGTTTATATCTCACAAGCCAGCAAAGTCTCATCTGGCCACTTCTAGTTGCAAAGGAGGCTAGGGAATTGAGTGATAATTCATTTTTTCAGACCTTATAGCAGAGGCTGGCAAAGAAAAAGGAGATTGAGAACAGATTTTTATCAGCTGCCTTGCAATGTGTACTTTAATGACTATTATAAAACCAAATGCTACTATTTGTATGTTTATCTACTAACTCAAGACTGAAGCATGCTTTATTATTATAAAAATCATCAGTAAAAATATAGGTAGCAGCTAGTCAGGTGTTTTGATATCCTTTCCTAATGGTTTTCAGACAAACTTCTTGAATTATTAAAATAAAGGAATTAACTTATAATTTTTGGGGCAGATATCCAGAGGGAAAGAAGAGAATTGGTAAGAAAAATTGTTACAAGTACCACAAGAAGACCAAGCAGTGGACCACGGGGCAATCCAGGCCCTGGAAGACAGAACAATGAAACCAGACCCGATGTTCAAGAGGATTCAGAGCCTTTCAACCCAGACAACCCCTACCACGTACGTGCTGGTGTTTCCATGACATGCTCAGACTACTGCAGCCATGTGACAGTGCAGTGGTGCTGTATCTACTGGTGGTTTCAAATGAGCACTTAGTATTCCACTGAAACTTTTACTTAATTATTTTAAAATTACATCTTAACTGATTTGTTTCAAGGTTTATAAATGAAGGTAAGAATATTTAAGCAGTGCTTCTGTCGTATAAAAACTGATTGGCTTTAATCCTTATTCAAAGGCTTTTTTTTTTTTTTTTTTGGTCACAGGTAACTCCATTAAAGCAAATTTGTGTTAGAAATTTGATTATTTTTAAAATGTTTCCAAGAGAGCCTTGGAGGCAATTCAGAGTGAAAGTATTCTTTTCCCTCCCTTTATGTCCACTTTACTCATCCATTGAGCAGGTACTTGTTGAGAACCTGCCCTCTGCACACTGCCTGTCAGGAGAAATATTTGTGTTTGGGTCTTGTAGTCAGAAGGGAGACAGACTCATACAGGAAAAACAATTTAGACTGAGAATTGGTGTTTGCAAGATGACACCAACAGGCTAAAAACATCCTAAATCTTTGAAGAAATATTACTTACCATTACTATACTTTGCAGAGTGAAAATAGAATACTATTTGTAATGTTTTATTTTTAAGATTTATTTATACAAGAACCGGGGTACAGGCCAGATGCGCAGGAGGGTGAGAGGATTCACCAGAGACAGAGTGGGGAGCAGAACAGGCAGACTGACTGAAATACACTGCTGAGGGGAGCAGCGGGCGAGACAGGAGAGGTCTGCTTCGGATGTGGGATTCTCGCTGGCTGGCCAGGATCGAACCCGCACTGAGAGGCTGCGGACAGCCTCACAGCACAGCGCTCAACTGACTGCACCACCAGGGAGGCCCTGTAAACATGTTTTAATTGAAAAAGACAGGCATATTTGTATTTTTAAACGGTATGAATGGTTCTACAACCATGAGTTTCTCTTCCACCTCACACCCCTCCCAGTGCAATCTAACAATACCTCTTTTCTCAGTTTCTCTGCATAAGACACACACACACTCAACTTGACACGAACATGTAAAAACTTCTATACCGCACTTTCTTCCCAGTTACCAGGCAGCATTTTTGAGGTTGATCTATATTTTCTACACAGACTTACCTCATTCATTTTAATGGCCACCTCGAATTCCATTGTGTGGATTTACAGAAATTTAGCTAGTTCTGCTTTGATGGACACATAAATCACTTCCCTTTCTTTTGTTGTTACAAATATATTTAATAGTCTCTAAATCCTTGTACATGCCTCGTAGGGTTATGGGAAGGTGTCAAGTGAGGTAATAACTTCAGCAACCACCATTAAGTAATGCAGGTGAAGCTCTTAGTAGTGTTTGACATAGTTAATGCTTAATGTATTCATGTAATCAGGGTTGAGTCTTATTAAACCTCTTGTACACAAGTGGAAGTATGTCTTTAGCACAAATACTGATGCATGGGGCTCTTGGTAGAAGGAAATTTTACATTTTAATGGAGAATACCAAATTGTTTCCCAAGAAATCACACCACCTACACATCTTCAAATAGTGATTACTTACTATCAAACTTTAAAATACCTTTACTAATTTTTGGATGTGAAATTCTAGCTCATGGTTTTATTGTGCCTGTCTTTACTGTTTATGGCCGAACATTTTTTCACAGACAGGTAAGTCATTCGTATATTTTTTTTTATACAACCTACTTTCATGTGTTGCAAATATATTTCTAGTTTATCATTTTAGGCTAATATATTTTGATTTAGAGGGGAAAATATTTAATTGCCCAAGGCTTATCAGGAGATGCAGGACACCACAGTACTTTATTTCCTAAAGCTTAAGGAATAAAAAAAATTAAATCTAAATAGGCAAACAAAATTTAGTATCTTTTTTTTTTCCCAAGTAACTGGACTATTTGAATCCGGTACAAGGGACAAGGGCATCACATCAGCCTCTTCTCAAAAGGGCAGGATGTGACTTTACCCTGTTTCCAGACTTTAGTGGTTCACGTTTCTTGAATAACTCAAATTTATATCCATTTATTCCTTTATTACCTGTTGAGTTTTAAGCATAAACACCTCCCATGATCTCAGTCCTTTACAAATTCCTTTAAGGAAATACTTTAGGTAAGCCACCTGAGTTTTCTTCCCAACTTTTTGATCCTAATAAACCTTCACTTCACCCTGAGATGAAGAAATGCCTCAACCAACAAACAGGTTTACCACAGAGGAGTTAGCTAAAATAGGTGGTTTTCTTTTTACTATTTCAGATAAGGAATAAAATGGAGCTTGAATTAAAAAAAAATTGTAAGACCTTAATAACAAATTTGAGCAGACTACATCAGATAGTGTTAAGACATTTGTTAGGTTTGATAATGGCAGTGTGGTTGTACAGGAAAATATCCCTCACTCTGGTGGTGCAGTCAAAAATATATTTAATGGGCCTTCCTGGTGGCGCAAGGGTTAAGACGCAACCTATGAAGCTATCCACAGCCACGGCAGCACGAGTTCGATTCCCAGCCAGCCAGGGAGCAACCCACATGGCGCAGCAGACCTCTCCTGACTCACCCGCTGCTCCCCTCAGCAGTGTACTTCAGTCAATCTGCCTGTTCTGTTCCCCACTCTGTCTCTGGTGAATCCTACCCCCCCACACACACCTCTGGCCTGTACCCCAGCTCTTGTATGCATAAATAAATAAATCTTTAAAAAAAATGTATTTAAGGATGAACAGTCATAATGCCTTCCAAATTGACTTCAGAATTAACAACAAAAAAATCAAGTACATTTGTCAATTGTCAAATCTAACTGATACTCGATAAACATTTCCACATTCCAATGTAAATTTTCATAATAAAAAGCATGTCCCCACCTCCCAGTTGAGAACTGTTTGCATACAAAAAGGCATAGGATTGCTTATGTTTCCTTTAAAAGCATAACCTGTGTTTGGTGCTGCAACTTCCAAGTTCAGTTACCTTCGGGAAAGATTCTTAAATTGAATAAGGAATTTACTTTGACAAGGGCTTCTGGGAGATGTAATGCAATACCATGTTAAAGAGGTTACCCCTAGAAATCCATAAAAAGGAAAACCCAGTGCATACATTTGGCAGGGGTAAAGTTCCTCCAGTTCTGGGCTCTTTCCCACAGTGAAAATGCAGACTTTTACCCTATCAATATTACTTTGTTTTTATTTAGCTGTAGTTATGGTAACATTTAAGGTCTTGAATTCTTACACATTATGCTATATCTTTCCCGAGGGGTAAGAGATCCTCACATTGAAAAGAAGGCGGGAAAAGCTAAATTAGTGTTTAGACAGTGCAACTGGAATAGCATGTTGGCCTAGATCAGTGAGTTTCAAAATGTGCTCCCAAGAGCCCTGGAAGCCATTACTACAAGAAGGCACCAGTCTTCAAGTGACTTAAAATTAGTAGTGGCAGAAATGCTACTTTTGAATCATGCTTCCTTTTTGTTTGCCTATTTAGAACAAGTTTGAGTCACTATTGAGTGGTAATGATAGTTCACTAAAGGCAGGGAGAAATTTAGCATGACATTTAGAAAGCCCACCTTTCTGCCAGTACCAGATTAGGTAGGTGTAAGTTACTTAATGTTGAAAGGAATTCTGCAGTATAAACACCTTACAGAAAATTAGACTGATTTTTTTATAGCAGTGTAATATTGAAGATCTTATTGAAAACGTGTGCATGCTATAAACTCATTATGAAGAAAACACAAAATAAATCTCCTTTGTTTCACAGCAGCAGGAAGGTGAAGGCATGACATTCGACCCTAGACTGGATCACGAAGGAATCTGCTGTATTGAATGTAGGCGAAGCTACACCCACTGCCAGAAGATCTGTGAACCCCTCGGGGGTTATTATCCATGGCCTTATAACTACCAAGGTTGCCGTTCAGCCTGCAGAGTTGTCATGCCATGTAGCTGGTGGGTGGCCCGCATCTTGGGCATGGTGTGAAGACACTTTATATAGCAGGTGCTGTAAAAGTAAGAACTCAAGAGACAACCAAAGTGTGAGGTATTTTGATGCTGAAGGGATCACAAAGCATTTTATACTCAATCTGGGTGATATTATTCAAGATACTTTTAACAGATATTTCTCAGTTGCCTTATAGAACTTTACCCAGAATGTGCAGATATACTGAATGAGTAGTTTAAATCTAACAATGTCATAATATTCCTATTACTTGCTATTCTTACTTGCTTCGCTTTGCCAGTAAAGCCTGCTTGTAATACTTCCTTCCCAGGCTGTTTTGAAATAAACATGAAAAATTATTGACAACTTGTCAGAGATCTCAATTGTACACTTGAATTCCTTTTAATCAAGTCACTAAAATAATTAAGTTGCTCTCAGTTATCTGTACAGAATCCTTCAATTGTTCTTAACCTTTACCCTCCTTCCCAGTCTTTAAATGTGCCCCCAGAGGTCCCAGAAAAAAACAAGGAAAACAGACATAGAATAGAATCTACCCAGGTAAACACTGTAAACTTCCAGGAGGTAGTTCCTGGGAAGTTCTGCATCTAGAGTATGTGATTAATAGGTGGCTGTTCTATGTTGAGTCACTTCCAGGAGAAGAGCATTAGGATAAAGATGGAAAATGGTTAATGATAAATCAAACGTGAGGAGACTTTCATTGACATTCTGAAAAGCAGGTCTTCACACCCTCTTCAATCTGTTCTTAGGAAGTGGTCACTGGGCATGAAAGAGGGTAACGATTTCTACCTTTGTAGTACAAATCAGGCTCATGTTGTAGTCCAATTACCAATAAGTTACTCTCCCAGGAATAGGGCTGACAAGGCTGCTTGCCAGATACAGCTGAGGAAAAATGGCTTATTTATCTGTAATGACAGAGTCTCCTGGGCACAAGATCTTTAAAAACTGAAATACTAGATCAGGAAGATGGACAGGTATTTCACGTATTTGACATTTTAGCTTTGAACCCCAGTTCAAGAGGTAAAGAACTTTCTTAGGGAAAGTTTTCCATTAACAACACAAGGATTAAGAGAAATGACAGAAGAGGTCTTGATACCATGATCTCACTAACATCCCATATTCTAAATATACTTTATTACTTTATGTCCTGTTTGCCAACTTGAGCCTGTAAAGTCAAAGAATTTTTAAAACCTGGTTATTAGATAATGCTCACATGCCTGTACTTAACAGAATACACTACAAGCGAGGTCTCAGGAGGAAAGGGATGAAGACATACACTGATGTGTCACGTTCACCTCCATACTTTTCTCAAGCAGTTACTTCCTGCAGTTATGAATTTATCAGCCTTTAAATTACTGTCACTCCATTAACCAAGCAATCATGTGCCAACAGTTCTGCCCACCCTCTCCAACTCACCACCCAGCTACCTGTATTTCGCTCTAGAAATAAAACTCAGTGATGCTAACCCAGAAAAGCTTTTGGTCTACTGAGATACAGGTAATTAGGATTCACCAATGGTCTTGATAAAGATGGGAACAGTAGGCTTCTTGGAGAAGGGAATGCCTCTGTGAGGTCTTGAAGGTAAAGGAGTAACGTGAAGGTGACAGAGGAAGGGTATTCCTGGCACAGTAGTAGTTCGAGTGAAGTTAGAGGTGTGAAGTTACATGGTTCAAAGCAGGTCAACAACACTCAAGTTGAGATAGGAAACAGCAGATGGAAATGTAGGCAGCAGCTCTATATTGAATGTTACCTTTGGGCGTGTATGTATTTGGTGGATAAGAAATAAGGAACCAATAAAGAGGTTTCAGATGAGGGGTGTAGTGTTTCCATTTTAGATGAATTACCTTGGTAGCTTTCTATGACAGAAGCAAGCAGGTGCTTATCAAGGAGAGCATTTAAGGGAAGGCAGGCTACCTCCTGAAGAGGTGCTCCCTTTACAAAGCACCATAATTAAATGGGAATGTTGGAGATGGTAACTGACTTCATAAATGATGGAATTACGTTATTATGAAAAGTCACTAAATATACAAGTCAACCAAAAAAAACTGATGTTTGAAGGGCAGAGTGAAGCTCACTAGATTACGGATAGGAATGACATTAGAAATTCAAATTGTATTCATAGAAGAAAACTAAAGGTCTATTTTGAAAGAGAACATACAAGTACACAAAGAAAGAACATTTGATACAGGAAGAGAGGACACTGAAGAATACAAACTCTTCACAAAATAGTAATGATTTCCAGATTTTTAACCAAAATAATACAAAAACTGCAAATGCAGCTTAGTTTGCTGTGCTGAATTATTAACTACACATACACACACACACAGACACACACACATTTTAGTGATATATCTGTATTTTTAAATATTTATTTAATGGTGTTTTAAGCCAAGTCTATGGACATTACAGGTTAAGTTTCAAGGACTGAGTTTGACTCAGATTGGAAAAACCACTGTACTTTCTGATGGAGTTGCTGCTGCATCAGCACACAGACAATGAAGATACGGGATTACAAGGTTTCATTATGTTGAAATGTTCTTTCCATGTTACATTAACTTATCTCACTGAAATATGCCAACAAATTTCTATTGAAATTTTTAAATCCTATTAACCTCAACCTTATACCACTCTCCCACCACCATCTCAAATAACTGACACTAAAAAAGTAAATATTTTGGAATAATCAACCAACTGAAAGTTTACTTCTTACACCAGATTTTATTACACTCTGAAATATAAGCTACATTTTTACAAAATAGAAAATCTTCTGTGAGTGGTTAACTTAATTTTACTTTTGTGTAAGCTGAATATGCTATTCTGCTTTATGAACATTATATAGAAATGGTCACAATCTTTTTTTTTTTACTGATTTATTGAAGGGAAGGAAGGCGTTGACAAAAATCTATATACACAATCCTAGCAGCAGATCTTAAACATGAAAGTGCAAATTTGCAAGTCAATGATGCAGACTTTAGCAAGAACATTTTATAGGCAGAATGAGTTTGGGTGTGTTTATAAAAGAAAGTCAAATTCCTTTTAAGGGCTTTTGTACATATATGCATGCTTATATTCTATATGCATACAGAGATTTTACTTTCAAAAGCCCAACATAATATTAGAATCAAATTTACAGATCAGGTTAAGTTAGTGTTCAATGATTTAATAAAAGGACTCAACAGTTTTTATTTAAACTGTTGACATTCTAAATAAATTAGTTTCTATGTACTTACTGTGTAAAGGTAAGTACATCTCTACATATATTTATACACATACGACCTAAACCTAGCAAACAGGTGATGTTATTTTCCAAGGTGTTTGGCTTATTGAAACTTTTCCACATCTTAATAGCTTTTAAATAAATTATATAGAAGTCTTTATTAGCATATGTTATCACTATAGTGATAAAAATCACTAATAGTATACCCAAAAAACTTAGGTTAAAACACCACGTTATTTAACAACCATTTGTTTTAAGAGGTATTCTATGAGTAATAACTTTACACGTCATATTCCTATTCTGTGTCTGCTCCTTTATAAAAATTCTTTATACATCACATTCCTACAATTGAATCAGAACCCCAAAAGATTCAATCCCTTTTTCTCATCTTTAACAGATTACAAAAATTTTAATAATCAATGAGAAGAAATTTCTTGGAATAGCCTCTGTATACTATTTTCTAAAATTAGCATTATATTTGCAAATTTATTTGCAACTACTTTTTAAATCATGATTTCTGTGGTTTCCCATCTGTCCTTCAGCCTTCCAAAGTGTATTTAATTGCTAAAAATTATCTTTTCAACTGGCTAAAATAAAGTTTATTAACCTTAATTCATCTTTTTATAATTAATTTGCTTTACATTGACATAGTCAAAGACCTGGAATAAACTAGTCAAGCATGAAATTTCTCTTAGAAGGATATAATGCTTTTAAATTTTTTTTCCAGTTAACACCATATTTATTCCTGGGCCTCCCCTGGTGGCGCAGCGTTTGAGCGCTGGGCTGCGAGGCTGCCCACAGCCTCTGCAGCGTCGGTTCGTTCCCCGGCCGCCGGCGAGGGTCCCACAAAAAAAAAAAAAATTATTCCTGTTTTTGTGTAACTATACAACTATGTAGTAAAAATCTCCACAGGATGTACCCTAACACACATTCTACAAACTTTACTGAATCAGCACCATCATTTTAAATATTCACTTAGCATTAAACCAATCAAGCAACTTCAGAGAATACTTAAGTAGCTAGAGTTTAGTACCTCATTTATAAGTCAGCACTACGCCATGGCTGTAATTATTATTATTCTAGTATTCTCTCAATTTTATAATACCAATTGGTGAAAAACTGACATCCTGCCCAAATAATCTCAACTTGTTTCACTTTGACAGAAAAGATGCTATATGGATTCAGTATCATAAGGATCCTAAGACCCTAATGACAAAAGAACAATCATTAAGCATCTTTTCTCTGCCTTTGTATCAATGCAAGAGGCAAGTAAATCCCTTTATTCCTCAAAATCAATGTTTTTTTAAAGCAATAGCCCAGGTCACTGAAAACATAGACTTACTGGGCCCTACTCCAAACCTACTGATGCAAAATCTCAGGAGGAAAGCCAAGAAAGCCTGTGTTAACATCAAAAAACAAAAGACAAGCATCCCAGGTAAGGATTATTGACCATTAAGTTTGAGAACCACTACTTTATATATTATGTGAAATATCTGCCCAACACTATTTTAGTTATCTGATATTTGTGGGAACTGTCACAAGGCAGCACAAGATTAGGGTAAATAATTTAAGTTTTAAGGGGTTAGATTCACATTCCACCAACAACTATATGTTTGAATTATGTTTAAGAACGGTTATGAGGGTCTCCCTGGTGGTGCAAGGGGTTAAGACGCAACCTATGACGCTATCCCGCAGCCACTGCAGCACGGAGTTCGATCCCCCGCCAGGGAGCTACTCATATGGCGATAGCAGACCTCTCCTGACTCGCCGCTGTTCCCCTTGGCAGTGTATTTCAGTAAGTCTGCCTGTTCTGTTCCCCACTCTGTCTCTGGTGAATCCTCTCACCACTCCCCTGCCCCCACACCTCTGACCTGTGCCCCAGTTCTTGTAGGCATAAATAAATGAATCTTAAAAAAAAAAAAAAAAAAGGAACAGTTATGAAGCGTATGAGTGCTATGGATAAAAAGGCATCTGCAAAACCAAAGGTGGACTAGACAGTACTTATGATAGCTTTCAGCTCTGAAATTTTATTTTTCTTTGTTTGGTCTCCTCATATTACAGGGAACAATACATGTTTAAGGGAGTAACTGATATCAAAACTATTTTGAGTCTTGGCAGATGGCCCATAACATGTCCTGCTCATCTGATTTTAATGATTCTATTAAACATGAAATTCTACATACTTACTCTGAAGTCCCTGTTCACAACCAGTCATTTTATTGAACCCAATTCTGTCTCAGTAATTTATTCTGCGAAAACTGTATTTATGCTCCAGAATAAAATATAGCTTGGTTAAACAAAGATTAAACTAAATTGGGTATTACCTGTAATTTAATGAATAAGGAGAAAAGGGCAGAAATAAGGAAAGCATTGAGCCTGAGTGTTCCCCATATACTCATCAATTCATATACCACAACTCAAATTCATTCACATGAATACCATGAAGTATAGAGTAATTCCTGACAGATTTATAAAGTACATTTGCATGTATACACATCCGATAAAAATCAGAAAATTTTTAAAAATGGTTACTGATAAAAATTTTCACAGCACTAAAGACAACAGGATTTTATATTAAGCTGGGACAAGCCCTAGCTTTGGCTATCATCATCTCATCTGTATTGTCTGCAAGACCCTGTAAGATCTAGGCCTCCATTACCTGCTCAACCCGCTCACTCTATTTCAGCTGCAGAGTCTAACAGTTTCACTAACACACGAGGCTTCACGTTTTGCTTTTCCTTCATCTGGGACCTATCTTAAAATTTTAACTACCTGTTACCCTCTTTACAGTTTTCTTCCTTGGTACATAGTATCATTTAACATACATTTCTCTTATTTCCACCCTAAGTTAAGCTTATTCATAAAGGCATGGAATTTTGTATGTTCACCAGCATACTCCTCCTAGTGCCTAGAACAACATCTGGTAGATGTTTGGCACTCAACGTTGATGAATGAATGGGTATATCATGAACCATGCATTCTTCACTTACTGTGTTAGTGTATCACCTACCATGTAGTGAAGACCCACTCCAAGAAAAATATGTGAGTTTTAAAGAAAAACCTCAGTTTTCCAATATTGTAAAAAACTTCAAAAGTACACAATTCTCACTAAAGAGGGTCTATAGTATTAAATAGTTCACATTTTCTTTGGGGGATTTCCAGAAAAAACATACTAGTAAGCAATTAAGAATTTTTGTCTCCAGAAGTTGGTGTGCTTATAAATGAAACTGCTTGATTCACTCTTGGCCTTTATAGTGTTGTGTATGTCTGTATCAATCCCATGCCTGCCTCTATAAAACTCTAGCCTCCCTTATAGACTCAAGTTCCTTGGGTTCAAGATTTCTTCTTGAAAGAATGACGAGCCTTACATTAGCACATAAACTCCAGTCCCTTTTTAAAGAATCACACATTTTGTTTTTAAAACAATCAGAATCCCCTCTCCAAAGCCACAACAATCAGGACCAAGATCTGAAAATTAAATAGTAAAATAAAAAATTCTTGCTTTCACACTAGTTTTTTTAGTTATATAGATGGTATTCTTTCTAGTAATACAGATAACTCAAGAAAATTTAGATTTAGCTTTCACAACCACTGGTTAAAAATTTACTTAGAAATTATCTACATGGATGAAACAAAATCAACTGTAAGGGCACAATATAGTAACAACTGTCAAAAACTACTTAATTTGGAGTAAAGTAACAGTTCCAGTATCTGAGTACCTATGTGAAAGGCACTGTGCTCTGCACTAAAGAGCTAGAGCTAAAAAACTGTCAAAGCTGAAAACCAGGTTTTTCCTCTTCACCAAAAAAATGCTCAGTCACAGGGAGAAGAAATAAGTCAACTGTAGTTATTTGCTAAAGAGAGGATAGACCAGAATCCCAAACATGCTCATGAGTCACCATGTTTTGGGTATTCCTCTACCAAAAAAAAAATCTAATGGATGCTTCAAACATAAGCTAGTAACACAATCCAACTGCTACAAAACAGCTGTTGACAGAGTAACACAAGATTCAATAGGCTTCCTGAAGATGGCTTTTGAGCTCAGTTTTGAGTTCAGATCAGATTTTGTACAACTGAGTTGGAACTGGAGCTTTCCAAGGCAGATGGGAGAAGGAATAAAAACACATGGTACAGGGCCTCCCCGGTGGCGCAGCGGTTGAGCGCTGGGTTGCGAAGCTGCCCGCGGCTTCTGAGGCGCCGGTTCGATCCCCGGCTGCTCCCTGGCCACCGGAGGAGGGTCCCACATGGCGCGCAGACCTCTCCTGCCGCCCGCTGCTCCCCTCAGCGGTGTACTTCGGTCCTTCTGCCTGCTCTGCTCCCCGCTCTGGCTCTGGTGAATTCTCTCACCCTCCCGCGCTTCTGACTGTACCCAGTGCATGTATAAACAAAACAAACAAACAAACAAGCAAACAAATAAATAAAGCATGCCTCTATTAAAAAAAAAAAAAAACACATGGTACATTCAGACAGAGCAGGGAGTCTATAAACTAAAAACAAGAAAATGTGATAAGGATTGTATGTGACCCACAAAGCCTAAAATATTCATTCACTATATGGCCCTTTACAGGAAGTTTATCCACCCAAGAGTATTCTTGTGTGGCTTCATTTAGGTACACAGTGAAAGAGTGACAGATGAGGAAAAAAAATTAACTGAGGCTGAATTATAAAAGTCCTTCAATAGCAGATTCAAGTCAGACTTGTTAACCTCCTTTTGGGTATTCTACTGCTCCAGTGGAATTTATTATTTAAGTTCAGATGGGTTTGTCTCAATACACACCATTAATATATCAGAATAGGATTTTAAGATTCCAGATTCACATGTTAATATGCTTTTCTCTCCTACAGTTGCTTCTGTGGTAGAGTAGAAATAAAGTGACGATTTTGCAACTCATTATTAGCAAAATAATAGTAAAGTCATGGAAATCATTTAATTTCTTGACATATTTCATGGTCACTAAATATATATCCCTCGCCTGAACTAATGCATGAAAATAGTCATTGTAGTCAATTAGATGACAGAAAATTGTCAACAATGGAGGACAAATGATCAGCAAAAAGTGGTAACTGGGGGAAGAGAACCCCAAATCTGAGTCCAAGTAGTGTCTATAAACAAAGGAACTGCACATACTTATCATAACTCCCCACTGATTATTTGGGAGGAAAAAAGGATGGACAAATTAACTCTTGTTTTTCCACACTGAAGGAAATAACAGAATTCATGATTTACAAGTGATACAATTTTGCACCTTATTTTTATAGACTATTCTATAAACCCTGTTTTAGCATGCTTTGAGATTTTAAATCAAAATGGAATAAAACCAAAGAACTTCTATAAGGAAGCTCCTTAACATTCTACAATATACTTTCTTCTGCCACCATCATGCATTTTATGCTTCTTGTTAAAGGACAATATATTTAAGCTCTGCTTAAGTACTCAAATTAAAAACCTTTTCTATAAACTTAAAATTTTAAATACTTTTATCAGGTTCATGATTCATAAAGGATTGAATTTATAATAAAAAGGTTTTCCATAGGATTTAATTCTCCCATCCTAAATGCATATAAGATAATCTCATGTCATCTGTAACATTAAATGTTGTTTTTTGAATTTTACATATACAGGTAGTTTTTTTTAAATCTAGAACCCTTAAGGTCAGATGCAGTTTCTGAATTCAGAATTTAGATTACAGAACACAATATGGATATACCATTTATTACGTAATGACCTCAGCAGTATCTATGCCAGCATACTGTAATTAAAGAATATTTCTGCTGCAAAATATCAGTGGTAATATTGTGAGTTCAGGTCAGATTTTGTACCACTGAGCACACATATAGATAACACAATTACTTTTAGAAATTTTTGAATTAAAGAATTATGGAATTATATTAGCTCATTCATCTCTTAACAGTCCACGAGGGGGACGTTACTATTATTTCAGTTTTCTAGCTAAGAAAACTGAGGAAAAGAGACATTAAATAGCTGCTGCAGTTGACAGTAGAAACCACGATTTTATCCCAAGCAGGCTCCGTCTCAGAGTTCATATATTTAAACACTATACAATACTGAATTTTAATGCATTCAACAGGGAATCAAGCATACAGTATGTGCAATAGTTTACTATTATTTAGTTACTGTGGTTGCATTGCAGAAGTTTTTTAAAAATCCACAGATAGACGCTAAAGATTCTTTTCCTAACTCCTCAATAAGCTAAAAATTACCCTTGAACAGGTATATGTATCTAGGAAAAAACCCTTGAAACAATCTCAGCGTTTGTCCAATGAAACCAGTGTGAGTGCTGCCAAGTTTTCTCCCTAGAAGAGCAAAAATTTGATTAGCACGATGTGCCATTCCTCTTACACCTGTAAGAGTTGTAAGGGTATTTGGTTTCTCCACAATTATCTGCATATGAGAAAAACAGCATCTTCATATGAATCAAAACTATCTATGTTTATTACCTTTTACAAGAGGCAAGAGATTTGGATTCCTAATAAGCTTTCCTATTTAAGAAACTGACAGCAGTTTGAATTTTAGGAGTATATCTTCCCAGATGATATACAAGAAGAATTAAAGAAGAATTAAACAATTCAACTGACACATTTCTGCTTCATTGTTAGTTGATTTATTAATAAAAATATTCATTGCACACCCATCTCATTCACCTAAAAAGGGAGACACTGTTCTTAAAAGCATGGGCACTGGAAAGATATACAGCTGGGACTACATCAAATTAAAGAGCTTCTGCACAGCAAAAGAGACAATAACCAAAACAAAGAGAAACCCCACCGACTGGGAGAAAATTTATGCGCACAACACTAATGATAAAGGACTGATCACAAAAATCCACAAAAAGCTGATGAGACTCAACAAAAACAAAGAAAATAATCCAGTCAAAAAATGCGCAGAAGAGCTAAAAAGAAACTTCTCTAAAGAGGAAATGCAAATGGCCAACAGGCATATGAAAAAATGTTCAACATCACTTGTAATCAGTGAAAAATGCAAATCAAAACTACAATGAGATACCATCTTACATCAGCGAGAATGGCACATGTTAAAAAAACTAGCAACAACAAATGCTGGCGAAGTTGTGGAGAAAAAGGAACTCTCCTGCATTGCTGGTGTGAGTGCAAAAACTGGTCCAACCATTATGGAGAGCTGTGTGGAGATTTCTTGACCTCTAAACATAGAGCTTCCATATGATCCAGCAATTCCACTCCTAGGTATTTACCCAAAAGACACAGAAACATTCATTAATTCCAAAGGGGACCTGCATCCCTATGTTTATAGCAGCACTATTTACAATAGCTAAGCTATGGAAACAACCCAAATGCCCAAAAATAGATGACTGGATCAAGAAGATGTGGTACATATACACAATGGAATATTACTCAGCAATCAAAAAAGATAAACACATGCAGTTTGCAGCAACATGGATGGAGCTAGAAGGGATTATGGCTCAGCGAAATAAGCCAGAAAGAAAAAGAAAAATACCGGATGGTCTCACTCACAGCACGAATTTAGAAAACCTAAATAAGGGACCAGGAAAAAGACTAATTAATACAAAGTGAAAATCAAAAGCAACAAGCAACTATAAACCAGAGACACACTATGGGGGGAGAGGAGGGGAGAGGAAGGACTAGGGTCAAAATAAGGCGGGGGTGTATAATTGTATGGGGAATATAACCAAAATGAAAATGCATACATTGTGCAAAAACAAAAAATGATATAAGAATTATATAAAATAAAATATTAAAAAAAAAAACACAAAAAACATGGGCACTGGGGTCTAAAAAATCTGGGTTCAAATCCCAGCTCTATCACTTACCAGTGTCGTAAAATTTGGGCAAGGCCCTAACTTTGGACTCACTTTTCTGATCTGTAATAATAGGATGCTGTCACTATTTCACAAGGCTTTTATAAATGAGATAATGTACATAAAGCACTTAGTGAATCTGGCTCATAAGAAGTACTAATAAAGAATAGCAAACACTGTTAATATCCTAATGGGTTAGTACTGTTAACTGATGATATTATCTGATTTGGGAAAGGGGCAAGTTTACTGAGGGAGGGTAACATCCTAAAAGCTAAATTAACTTCACAATCAAATCACAGTTATGATCCCAAATAGCAACATCTGTGAATAAATCAGTATTTCTAATTTGCCCACAAATTCCCAGACATTTCCAAAATGAAACCTCCTGGTATGTATAAAATGATCTTATAACAGAAAATGCATAGCTGTAGACAAAAGAAACTAAATCAATGTTGACTCTCCCTCTTATTTAAAAGGATACTCAGTAACTCTTCCCAGCACAAAAACCATCATTTTGTCCTCTTAGTTTTATTACCTCCTCTCCTTGGTTCCTCCAAGGCCTAGATAACTGAAATCCATATTCTTATGTGGCTCCAACAGCAGGTATGAGTGTTTCCAGTCAATTACAAAGAAAAGTAGATGTAGTAACTACCTTTCCTTCTTTTCACTCTCTCCCTCCCTCCCAATCCAGAAATTTTCCACCTATTTTGAGCAATGTCAATAACAGCTACAAATCAGAGATGTGTAGTACACAAATCAGGCCAAGGAAGAGCCCAACAGAATTTAAGTACATCAGGTAGATCAGATGGCACATAAGCAATTGTACTCTGGGTCACTGATATAGAGATCAACTACTAATCTGACGTGCAAATAATTAGGGAAGCAGAAAAGGAAGGTAAAATGGGAAAGGATAGCCAAAAAAATTAAATATTCAACCAAATTAAAATTTCTATATAAACTAATTATAATGGCATAGTGCCATTAATACAATTTTAAATAGTTTTCTGAAATTTAACTAGGAAATCTACATAGACACACCAATTATTTTTCTTCCTTGTCCTATACAGTTAAGCTACCAAAATGAAGTTGTTCCAGATTCAAGGAGACAATAGTGACTTCAATGTTCTATGATGAATATCACTCATCTAAAGAAAGAAAATGTTTTTAAAAAATTGTAGTTATCAATGCAATGCATGCTTTCTCTCCATTCCATGTAAAAATAAAGAAAACTGGTTTTTTTTGTTTGTTTTTCAAGTGGCTATTAACTGCCAATGTTCAAGACTAAATTTATTAGCTAGCAAACTAAATTTATTAGCAGGTATTAGGACATAAGACAGAAAATTATTAAAATTCATCCTGTTTTTCAAATCACCAATGTGATTACTATGTAAAAGTTCAAAGAAACAGATTATCCCATTCAAGAGTTTTTGAAGACAGTGGGAAAATTCTGGAAGTCATCAAGGAAGAAATGATTATAGAAATCAGCAGAAGAGATGAAGAATCGTAAGAGTAAGAAAAAGCATTCCAGGACTAAATCTTAAAAAGGAAAATAAATGGTAAGAGGAAAAAGTACATCCTGAATAAACAAAAGGCTAACTACAGCACTATGAGAACCAAAATTTGATAAATGAAAATTGAGAGCCCAGAGAAACCAAGCAGCTAAGCTAAGATAGTAGACAATAAAGGTAAAGAGGTTCTTTTTTTTTGTGTGTGTGTGTGTGTGTGGGACCCTTGCCGGTGGCCAGGGAACCAACTGGCACTGCAGAGGCTGCAGGCAGCCTCACAGCCCAGCGCTCAACCACTGCACCACCAGGGGAGGCCCGGTAAAGAGACTCTTAATCAAAATAAAGATTTTTAACTTTCTAGAGGCTTATACATATTCACTATCTAAAATGTTGAAAGAGGCATTCCTCTAAAATAGTACTTTAGAGCCGAAGTCTAACCTACTTCTCAAAATTCCCTTCTCAAAACTTCCCATAAATCTACTGTCCTTTGTACTCCAGGTACATTTTATAACATAATCATGTATACTAGAAACTACATTTGGCTCAGCAAAATCTTGAATCCCACAAGTAAAGCAAATCTAGCCAACAGATAAGCATAAGTTAATGTATCCTTTAAAATACAAGCAAAACTAGCAACAGAATTTTAAAGACAACTTCTATTATAATATTGTCATTCTTAGGGAAGAAAAAAGTTTTTAAGGGGAAAAATGTTTTCTTATTTAGCATCATGGATTTTTAATTAAAAACTGAGACACATAAAGGTTCAACATGTTGAAAATTATGAAACTAGTGAGTGGCAGAGATTTGCTAGAGCTAGGATTCTCGTTTCTGGGGTGGTGCCAAATGTCCCTGACTTATCACTTCCATAACAAAAGCCTCTTACCCTGTAGGACTAGTGGTACTGAAAAAACTTTACAGAGTACAGGAATCACTTTCTTCTTCTGTAAGGAGAAAATTTTAGAAATCCTGAGAAGCGATTTTATTTTGCTTTTCCTTCAGTGTTCTTACTGGCACAAGAGGACAAGAAAATCCCCATTGCCCACCCCATGCTTGAACAAGTTATAACAAGTTTGGACATACTCTGGTTATCACCCCACCATCATTTTCCTCATAAACTCCCCTCCCCTTGATTTCATTGTCAATTTGATCATGTCAAACTCCCACTGTTTCAGAGGCTGAAAAGATGACCGATTTGACTCTGTATCCTCAATTACAAAGATACAGAATAGTGTCCTGTAAAAATATTAGTGATATATAACACATCAACTCTAGGGCATTATGGTTTAGAAATCATGATCAGAAAACAAAGTCAGAACTGCAGGTCATCTATAGCCTATAGCCTATGCTTTAACAGTTGAGACTCCAAAGAATTTTAATCATAGAACACTTAAATGTCTCAAAACTATTTCTAAATGAGTTCAGCATTCAAGCATTGGATAATTCCTTCATGAATATTCATTTTTTTCTCTGCTAGATTATAAACTCTTGCAGTTAATGCTCAAGTCTTTTAGTTTTGTATTCCCATGGTATCTACCTACTCTAAAAAGAGAGATGCCACTTAATTCATATTAATTTACTCACTCAGCAGTTCCCCTAAAATCACTGAAACTGATATAATCATGGGGATGTAAGAAGAGAGTTTTCCTAACAAAGAAAAAAATCTAAAGAAAACAAAAACAAACCACCAGTGCTGTAATTGTAGGACCCATGCTGTGGCAAAAGCAACAAGACAGAGTTGGGCTTTTCTAAATCACTCTCTGCTCCAGTCTCACAGATTATCTTTCATAGTTAGAAATGCAGCAGAACTCAGGTGTGTATGTCTTATATAAGGATTTGGAAGGAAAGAACCAAAAATATCACCGCAACTACAAATATTTCCCATAAAAAGAACCAAACGGGAATTCTCTGAGATACGTCTCCTCAAAGTTCTCATTAAAAACTTAAGAAAAGGTAAGTAAAACAAACTTCTTCATAGAAAAAATTATATTTACAACTCCAGTCAAAAGCAGTTTTCAAAAGCAAACAATGTAACACTGAGGTTGAAAAATCTATGCTCACCCAAAATTGCCAAGTCTAATAAATTATTACTAGAATACTGCATCAAAAATAAGGCAAAAACCCAATATCCCATTAATGAATTTTCCACTTCCCTAACTAGGTAGAACAAATCTATCTAGTAGCAAATGATATTTCATTCCATTTCAGCATGTCTGAAATGCTTAAGGACAGAAGTGATAAAATATGATCTTCATTCTTCATTAGACTCTTGGAACACTTGAACGAAAATAATTTCTAAAGCACAAAGAGGTAAAGAGGTATAACCTTTCAAAATGACAATCAGTGTTCAAAATTCGAGAATGCGTTAATACACAATGAGCATTAGGTGAATATATGTAATACAGCCATAGCAAATTAATTTATTTAGTACTTTTTCCATTCCATATCATCAGGTGGATTGATTTCAACTTTCCTTTTACCTACATCAGACCAGTTGGTACTCAAAACGGTACCACCAGACTCCATCTGCAATAAGAAATAAAAATAGATTAACTCTTGGACCATATATTTAAAACACTATTTTTCTAAAAGTGTTTTAACATAGAGTACCCCAAATAAGCTATAATTGGTTCAATATAAACTCAACACAATATTTAATCTCAGGCTTTCTAAAGAAGCTTGCATTGTTCTACATAATCTAAAAAGAAAATTCTATAGTAGTTAGATGGAAGCATCATTTCACATTATCATTACAAAGCATTTTCTCTCCCCACTCTTGCTAATCAGCAGATGAAAATAAAAATGGCTCTCAGAGAAACCAATGGTGGGATCTCTTTTGCAGAGGATAATAAAGACCAAGCAAGGTAAACTTTCAATGCTGTTTGGACAGAACTAAAAGGGCCCCATCTTAATGTTCTCTCTGTGCCAAATATATGCCAAGTATATATTTTTTTTAACTCAAGTGTACCACATGTACACAAAGTCAGTGTCTCAGCAAAGAATGACAACCCTGGCATATTCATAAACACAATAAAGAAAAAAACCTGGAAATTTGTTTATCTCAATGCAATAAAAATTGACTGACTTGGATCACAGCAAAGAACAATGTGAATTATTAAACTCGCAACATTTAAATAACAATCAGCTGTGTTACTGGCAAACACAAAATTATGTACCCTACATATGTACACATGTACATTGGAACCTCAATGCAAACCTATGCGTCATACTCTGCCAAGACCCCATATGTGGGCTCATTTGAAGGAAATTCTTTTCTTCATTCCACCCCAATTTTTATGTTAGTCACACTCTAAACATGACATCTCGCCACCTTTCTATGGCTTTCTTTAGCTCTATTCAGGACTCTATCCTGTAGAATGTATGAACATAATGACCACTAACATTATATGTATCACGCGCACTTGTTAAAATTTTAAGGGCTTGTCTTCTTGTATCTGCTTCTTACCATTGGCTCCAACTAAAAATGAGGATGCCTAAAAGGCACAGAGCAAATTTTACTAAAATTTATAGGAACAAATTTTACTAATACTTATATCCCAGATATAAATGCGCTCACTTATTGTGGTTACCCAACAAGAATAAATCTCTATCACCCACTATAACCTTGGAATTTCTTAAGCCTTCCAAAAGTTCTAGTTTACTGATTAAAAAAAAATAATTTACAATAAACCCCTTGTTTCTCGTCTCCTTCACAAGCTTCCAATTTCTTCAGTAATTACGCTAAGTTTGGATCAAGAAGTTTCAAACAAAGCATATTCAAAAGAAAGGTCACTCAGCTATAGTACATGAAACTTGGTCCCAAATTACCTACTTTTTTAAATTTCTGAAATTTACAATTTTTTTTTAAAGTTTAATGTTCTTACAAATGATTTGTTCATGGCACGTTTCACTTCATCAGAACCATCAGAATAGATCTGTTGAAATAATTTGTTCAAAGCTGCATCTCCTTCCAACTTCTCATTTTTTTCTTCTTCTTTGATCTCACCAACCAATTTATCCCAATTTCTTGTATAATGAGATGACGATGGATATAGGTTCTTTACATCTATAGAGTGAAAAACACAGAAGTCATTAATCAAAAGATTGTGTCAAGGCATGTGAACTGTGTGGTATTAACAGAATCCTCTAAGCAATTTGGTCATTAAATTTCAATGTTTGCTGCACCCCTAGGTTTACTGCAGCACTATTAACAATAGGTAAGCTATGGGAGCAACCCAAATGCCCAAAAAGAGATGACTGGATCAAGAAGATGTGGTACATATACACAATGGAATATTACTCAACAATCAAAAAAAGATATACTCATGCCATTCGCAGCAACATGGATGGAGCTGGAAGGGATCATGCTATGAAATAAGCCAGAAAGAAAAAGAAAAATAACATATGGTTTCACTTATAGAAGGAATGTAGAGGATCCAAATAAAGGATGGTGTGGGAGTTATTATAACAAAGTGAAAATCAAAATCAACAAGCAACTATAAACCAGAGACATTCAGCGGGGGGGAGAGGGATAGGATCAAAACAGGGGTGGGAAGAGCACAAGGGACTATGGTGATAGAACACAGGTGAACTGATGGTGGGAATTTCACGGGAACTTTAATGGAGATGAGAAAGCATACAATAGATACTAGTGGTTAGCAGCTACTAAGATTGACAGTGTAGCTATAGAGCTTTAAAGTGTTTCAACATTTCTTGAGCAATAACATAGGTCACATTAGTCCTAATCTAAAGATACCTCTTCCACGACCACCTCTGTATATCCCTTTCCTCATGACAGATCAGAAACTACTAGACATTTGTTCTATTTTTCCATCCATTCTCTTCAGTTGTAAAATGACTCACTAACATCAAAACAAAAGCACAACATCCCATACAGTTTTGTTTGGGGCAAGCATATTGCTTTTCAAATCCTATCTTCTCTTTTTCTACCAGTAATCCCTTATCTTATACATTTCACTAGTAGATAAGTGGGGAAAAAGCATGCCATCATAAATTATGACCCTACATGAGTTCAATTAATCCTAATACTGACTCCCCAAAAGGACGGGAACACAAGTTCTAATCTCATTTTACAAATAAGAAAGCTGGCCCAGATAGATTAAGCAACCTGATCTTATCTGTAGCCTCTAGTTTGCAGTACACCAGAAAATGACAAGCATATTAATTCCTTATAAAAAGTTAATAGGTAGGTAGAACAGTGTCTTGAATATCTAAGACAATGAGTTTAGAAAAACTTGTTAACTATAATATTTAATCTCAGAAAACTTTAACACCTACAGATGGTAGATGAACTGATAGGGTAATCTAAACTTGCTCATTCACTGTACTATCAAATAACTGCAAAGATATTCATGTTAACAGAGACTTTCCATTGTCAGAAAATGTGGCAACAAGCAGTACTACACATGGGGTTAACAGAACAAGACCCAAATCCTACAGATCGGAATTTTGTCCCAGACAATGAAAACTGCTGGGTGATCTTAAACAAGTGCTTAACCTTCCTGAGCCTATAAAATAGGAAGACTTACTGAGATACCTACTATATAAGGCTGTTGGTAGAATTAAATGAGATACAACATTTACAGTGATTCTTTAAAAAAAAAAAAAAATCCTACACAATATATAAACCTCAGCTCCAAAATTTCTGGGATCAGCCCCAAAAGATGCATGTAACAGCTGCACTACGTGTATCAAATAAAATGTGAAATAGAAGCTTACTCTAATAGCTGAAAAAAAATCTTGAAATATTTCAATCCTTAAAAATTAATGTTAATTTTCTGTTTTCTTCCTAATTATGCTTTAGGCGATTTAGAACATTATCATGTAGGGAAGGTGAGTGAAGGGCACATCGAAACTCTTATTTCTGCAACTTTTGTGAGAATCTAAAATTATTTCAAAATAAAAGCAAATAATAAAAATGCTAGCTAACCTCTGTTGTTTATTCAATAATGCCACAAGGAAGTGTTTCCACAAGGACGTGTTTTGTGTTACAGAAGCAGTGAAAATCTAAAAGCAGCTAAACCACAAAGTTATCTCATTTTAGTAACCAAACTGGAACATTAACTATAATCAAAAAATAAATTTTTCTCCATTCATTAATGAGGCCATTGTTTGCAAATTACATTCTTGGGTTGTAGTTCTAAGAATGTTCTAAAGATTGTTAAAATATACCTACCTTGCATATGCTTAGAATTAACCCCAACATAAAATTTGAAAGGTTAAACAATCAACTCCAGTTTTCTACTCTTCTTCTAGGTTCTCTGGGCAGCCCTTATCTGTCTGTGTTCACTTTTAAATTAGCAATATAGTGAAATGGATTATAAACCTTACTCTGAGAAACTGAAATTCTAGGAAACTAGAGTTAACAATATCATTAGAAGAAATAGAAACAGAGTAAGTAAAAGATGGGAAAGAGAATGAATGTATTAATAGAATAACTACTAATACATTTCAAACCAAAAGCAATAAGCAATAAGAAAGGACAACACACAAACAACCCCAACAGCTGTCATTAACTGATAAAGTAAATAAATCCCAATTCCCTTCAGGCTTCTGCTGCCATTCACTTGCATTCTTGGAATTTAAGAAGATGGAACTTTCATTAAAAAAAAAAACAAAAAACTACTTTGTATTCATTATAGAACCATCTTATTATACTTAATGTATCTTATCTTGGGAACATAAATAATGAAAGTAGAAAGAATGTTCATCCTTATTTAATTTCAACTATGTAATACAAAACTCATCATGGCCAGAAAAACAAACCTGCTATGAATTGTTTTGGCTTAGGTACATCTCCTTGCCCCTCTAGCTTTTCCCATCTCACAGCCTCTGGCTTTTTCATTTTAATTTCAATCTGGAGGAAAAAAAAAAAAATACATTGTTCAAGTTAACATACACAAAACTGAAAAAATTGCAATTTTTTAAGTCATCAAAATTTCGTAAGAATAATGTCCCTGAGATAGATTCCTTGAATTATATAAAATTAGATTTGAAGAACTTTCAAACACTTTGTTTCTAATTAAAAGTTATCCTTCAAAAATAACATACATATAAGAGTCTTGAAATCAACACACTTTTTTTCTTCCTTCTAAATGAGAGGTCATTCTGCATTTGGCAATGTCTGGAGACAATGCTGGTTTGTCACAACTAGGGTGAAGGGTGCTACTTACATCTAGTGAGGAGAGGCTAGGGATGCCACTAAACACAAAATAATATAAAGAGCAACACCCACAACAAATTATCCAGCTCAGAATGTCAACAGGGCCCACCAATGAGAAATACTGAGTTCTGAAGGTATGTTTGCATGAATAGTAGCCAACTTTATAATGCAGGGATTCATTTCACTACATAAAAATAAAACAAATACCCTTTTCATATTTGGGCCCAGCAGAATGGCTCCCTCAAAGAAGGGTGAGGAGAAGATAGTGACCAGATACTATCTCAACATTCACAAGCACATTCACAGAGTGGGCTTCAAGCAGAATACCCTTCAGAGATCTGAAAATGTGCAATGAAGAAAATGGGTACTCAGGTTGTGCGTGTTGACACCAAAAGTTTTCTGGGCCAAAGGATAAGAAATCCCATATTGTTTCCATGTGTAGTTGGCCAGAAAACCTACTGAAAAATCACTAATAAGCCAATATATTGGTTACCTATGAACCTGTCACTACTTTCAAAAATCTAGTCATTGTGGATGAGATTTAACCAGACTGTTAAGAGTGAAAACTGCAAAAGAAAAAGAAAAAATTAAGACTAATGACAACAATTTTACAAGCATTCATTCAATAATTATTAAACACATACTCTGAGCAAGGTATTTTTATAGTCTTCAGAATGTGGAGAAATGTTAAAAAATATTACAGACATATCCCTAATTATTAGGATCAAGAGAGATACATGAAGAAAGTGAACCAAAAAAGGCAAATAAATGTTCTATAAGCTCAGGAAAGCTCATACCTGGCTGTGAACAAGAAGGGTTTTAGGTCACCTTCAAGAGCTGTCAAGGGTAGCAGAGTTTGAAATGGTGAAAGCGGGAGTCCCCAGACACAAAGGAAATAGCCTGAAACTGGAACTCATAGCTGTGGAAGGACGCAATGCCTCAAGGAGTAGAAAGGCACCAATTTGCCTCAACTTCAGGTTTTATATTAATGAAAAAATACCTTAATGAGACAGAGAAACTGGCCAGTATTCTGACTCAAACAAGAAGTGATGGTATGGAAGGGATGTGGTATCTGAGTATATTTTCTTTAGAAGCATAAGAAATGGAGCAAAAATAGTTTTTATAATGAGAAAAATATAAAACATGTCACTAGGAAAAAGTATATTTTAAATGCAAAAGTATATTTTAAATGCAATTTACATGCTTAAATTCTACATAAATAAAAGCAAGCATTTATAAGAATTCCTAGAATATGTATAAATTTTTAAAGTAAAATACCATCAATATTTTTTTTCTTACATAGTATTAAGTGTTCACTATTAGGTTATTTCTCAAAAAAAGAACAGAAATCCAACAGCTGACAATGACACATTATTAGCCCTTTGCACTCCGCTGTCCCCTCTCAGGGGACATTGGTAGCCAATGTCCAGAATGGTTCGGAGTGCAAAGGTTTAGTTACCGAAAAGAGCTGCGGATACTATCCTAAAATATAAAATTGCATCTTGCACCATTATTTTTTTAGAACAACTAGGGTATATGCCAGAGATGCTGGGTGTAGAGGATTCACCATAGACAGATTCGGGAGCAGGACAGGTGGCTTTACTGATACATACTGCTAAACTACACTGCTAAGGGGAGCAGTAGGCGAGACAGGAGTGGTCTGCTGCATCATATGTGGGCTAGCTGCCTGGCCAGGGACCTAACTCAAGCCCCAGTGGTGATATCATTGAGACTGAACCCCTCACCAGGGAGGCCCACATCTTGCTTCTTGAATTTTCAACTCATCTGGAAATGAAGACCTGGTAAGCAGTATGTGCACCAACACTATCCTTACTTACCCTTAGTACAGCACACCCTACATTTGTACTTCAAGTTCCTGTGCTAAAGTACTGTCTACAAAGTTTGTTTCACCTGAAGAGTAACACACACCAGCACATATATCTACTGAAAACCACTCTAACCTGAGTAACCTGAGTTTTTATTAACATGTCTCAAATGAGATACATTGACCTGAAAATCCATTCATTACCATAGTTGCACATAATAAGCCATTTAAAGCCATTCTTTTTAAAGGAAAAAGAGGGAAAACTGATTGTCTCTAAATTCCCTTTTACACCTACTTCACTTTCAAAGCTTATACATGCTTTTAAAAATTAAGTTTTAAGTTTTGATGATTCTGGTAGTTACTTCTAGATTGGCTGCCAGTCCAATCTCAAGTATTTTCACTACAATTATTACAAGCCATTCAATTTTCCTTTATGTCATAAATAATTCAGAAGTCAACTTAAAACTCTGATAGTTTGCTTGCATGTTACTCTCATAAGCATGGAAAAGGTTTTCAATGTGCCAGAATATTCCAAAGCAATATTAACAAGTTACTAATAAGAGTCCCTACTATTCTAAATTGTCAGTTTTCATTATTATATATACTATCATTAGTTCTCCCTGGTACAGAAGTTGAATTTTTCCCAATGGAAGAAACATTAAGACCAAAAGATAACCCATTCTCCTAAGGGGTCATGGCATCTAGACACTGCCTTCTTAAGAAGTGATGAGTAAGCTTTCACTTACTGGTACAGTTTGACAGTGAAGGGATCTTTCTCAAAGACTACCTAGTTGGGACACTTTAATGATAAAACATTTTTCCCCCCAGCAAACTTTTGAGAACAATATTTTTCATGGCTATACTCACAAAATAATTGTTCCTTTGATCATCAGAATACAGCTTTCCCAACATTCTCTCTTAGTTCTCTGCATGTTTAATATATCAAACCCAGTCTTCCTGAGGTGAGGCTGTACAGAACTACCTTCTTTATTTTTACAGTCATATCACTTTCTAATGTATTTTAAAAACTCAAAAGATAATTAAGAGAACCGAAAGAAAAATCTTTTCCAAAGTTCTAATAGCTCACTTCAACTGTTTACTTAGTATCTACTCTGAGCCAGACACTGTGTTGGTATAAGATCATAACCTCAATTCTTCTTAAAAAAGTATCATGAGATATTCCCATGATTAAAAATACCAGTCAGTATTATCTGTAGTGACAGACCTAAATATTGAGAAATATTTAGTTATCTAGAAAGACACTTTTAGCAAGACTGAGTGATTACTTTCTCAGTTTCTTCATCTATTTCCAAATTTTCTATTTTATGCATTTACTGCTTTTATAACCTGAACAGAAATTAATCAGTATAAAATGGTATTAATAGCAGTAACATTTATTAAGCACCTATCACATAATCTTTGTACTAAGTAAACTATAGTACATCTAACAGAACATCCCAATAAAAGGTTACCATTAATATTTTACAGATAGAAAAACCTGTTGGAAATGTACTTTACCAATAGAGGTTTTACTTGATTTATTTCCTTAAAATAAGCAGTTGAAAACAGGACAAAATCAGCTGTGCAGCTTTAGAAAGAAGAGAGTCACAAATAGGTTCCAACATGTGTTGTGTTATGTATGTATGTTATAAACATACATACTGAGTCTCAGTTTCCCCTATAAAATGGGATTAATAGGGCTTACCTAAATTAGGATTCTTAGGAAGATTAAATGGGGCCATATATAAAATACAACATTGAATCTATTAAATAACTGAAAGCTAGCAACTTTCAAAATCTTTATCACCATTATTACAAACAGCGAAAAAAACCTGGACAACTTATTTACACACCTATGAATAAGCTGATAAAAATACCTATACCATGCAGACAGCTTAAGAATTACATGGGATAATACACAGCAGTCAAAACAGCAAGCTTCTATAATTCTCCACACGTCAAATAATATGGACTGGCTAAATAAGTTACTATAAATATTTTAATGTAGAATATTTAAGGACACGAAAAACTATTCATAATGTATGGGTAAGTTTTAAACACAGCATGTTCAGTAAAATCCTTTTTTTGAGGGAAATATATGAATGGTAGATTAATAGAAAAGGCAAGAATGCACCTCAAGATCTACAATTTGTACGTGTCAGCAACTAGTCGGTTATTAAAAAAAAAAAAGTAACTTACCACCACCGAATCAAAAAGATGTATAAAACACAACCCAAAATCTCCACATATGTATATGTTTAAAAAAGCAGTAATATTCTGTCTAGATACAACCACTATTACATCATTGGGATTCTTTTATGAATTCACTTTAAAACACCAAACTTTAGAGAATTAAGAAGGGAAAGGAGACTATTTCACTAAGAAATATATTTTCTCTTCTCACAATTCTAGTTAAAAGCTTTTATATTTTATATTAATACAGAAACATTTTACACTAATACAGAATACACGAATATATCCACAAGGGCAAATTTGCTCCAGAAGAGAATTCTAATTTTCACTTAGAGAAATAAGTATTAATCTTTAAAATAAGTATTTCACAGTAAAAATATCACTGACGTTACAATCTTGTGATTATGTGCAGAAAATACTGTAATGAAATAAGATGTTAAAAAAAAAGGAAGCATGAGAGCTTATTAAAGAAAATGGATTAACAGGCACACATAAAGCTGGGATTCAGTAAAAGGCACAAATAATTATCAGAGATACTGAAAAAAATATGAATTCTGACTTGGAAAAATATTAGACATTCTATTGTAAAACATTTATTTTTGAAATGCTATTTCTTTAAGGGTCCTACCTCCATTTTTATTGCAAATTATATTTTTTACTTGAATTAACACATGAAATATTCAACATTCATTCCATCCTGAAGATGGGAAACAAAACAGGACTCTCAAAAGCAAAGAAACAGACCTTGTAAGTCACAGATTTAAAAAGAATCTCTGATTTTAAGCAGATTTTCCTGAGCAAAATGAATCATTTTCTCAATTCACATAAAGGATTCAAGACATCTGAATACGTAGGAAAAGAAAATTACCTCACTATTGTCTCCTCTTAATGCCATCTCTAAATAAGCCGCAGTAACCCCCAAAAAGATTTTTTCATTATTTTAACATTGTCTCCCTCTGCTGTGTGAAAAAAAGACTCAAAATTTTCATCATTTCCCTTATGACATAAATTAAGAACAATTCTTTCAGTTTGTTTTCTATAAAATATAGCTTAAAAGTTGGCAGTATAATAAAGTAATATACATTACTTTGGGTTAGGACAAGAAAAAATTTATTCTTCAAAATACCACCTTAGAATATAAATTCTTTAATTTACAACTTAGAAAAACCTAAGCAATGACCAGTTTCATATTCCTAAAACTATTCCTCTGAAGACAGGCTTAACAATTCATTAACTATGTAAACTTGGGATAAGCATTTTAAAGTCCATGAACCTCAGTTTCTCTTCACATGTTAAAAAAAAAATAAGAATGAAGATATCTTATCTGCCAGCTTCATACAGCTAACATTAGAATTTACTTAAAGTCACTCACTAAGCAATTACTGAACACCATTAGCGCAAGGCACAGGGCAAGGTCTTGCCAAAATTAACCAAGGGAACATAGATAGTAGAAATTCTTCATGGCAGAGTTAACTGGATGTCCTGTACTTTATCTGGCAACTCTATATGGACTATATACAAAGACAAAAATTTGATGTATTTCTAATCCTCAAAAGATTTATTAAGGACAAGGGAAATAAAATATACATATAAACAATTATACAAGTACCTACGAGGTATTTAAAGAAAGAAAAAAGCTGGGCCTCCCCAGTGGCGCAGCGGGTTGAGCGCAGCGCTGTGAAGCTGTCCACAGCCTCTGCAGCACTGGTTCGATTCCTGGCTGGCCGGGGAGATACCCACATGGCGCAGCAGACCTCTCCTGTCTCGCCCACTGCTCCCCTCAACAGTGTATTTCGGTCCATCTGCCTGTTCTGCTCCCCACTCTGTCTCTGGTGACTCCTCTCACCTTCCCACACCTCTGACTGAACTCCAGTTCTTATATAAATAAATCAATCTTTTAAAAAAAAGGAAAAAGGAGAAAAAAGGCAAATAGGGGATACAATAAGGGAAGTTGAGAAAGGTTAGAACAACAAAAACACACAAAATTCAAAGAATTAATAAAAGACAGTGCTTAGTTACACTCTTGATTCTAACCACACAAATGTTTATTTACTGTATGTTTACACACAAATATTTACACACAAATATTTACTATATTTGATGGCTCAGTAACACAAGTGTTTTTAATCACCATCTATGTACATATATCAGTTCATACTAATTACTAACTTCTTGACAGAAATATGTACAAAAATGTCAAACTCATAATAGTTGACCCGTTTCCTTCCCAAATCTAGCATTAACTTTGTGTTTAGTTATTTTACCCAGTATTATTTTATTAAATAAATTCCACCCTATGTGGGATGGGGCAAGACTGAAATATTGGTAAGATTTTATCCCATTTCTACCTGGCAGTGGGCATGGAATAAAACATAGCTGTTAAGGTAAGAAATGGTACACCTGAATCCTTAAATGTAAACTTATATTACCTTAATAAAAATTAGTAAGATTTCATCACGTTTTCATAAAAGCAACTGTTTAGCTCCACCTCCAAAGTGTATTTTTGTATTTTGGAATATTCAGTAAATGGGCAGACTTTTTTAATTACATGCAAAAAACTACTGCTTCTTTACTTTGTACTTCCTGCTGCAGATGTCCTCTTCTTTCTGCAGGTCTAGTTACCATTGTTCATGACACACTTATTTAGTCTATAACCTTTATTTTTACAGATGCCAGAATTTTAGTCCTATAATCATGTTGTGACAAGTCTAAACTCACAAGGCAAGCAAAGAACCAGAATGGATTTTTAAATTTTCAGTACCGTATTTCTACTGGGTTATATTATTACCTACATCTTTGGATTAATGTTTAAAATATTCCCTGAATTTTATTTCTATTGCATATTTTTAATTATTTTTGGAAAAAAAACTAAGGTATATAGTTACACAAACTGCAATTTAAATTAGTGATGAATCCTGAATAAAAAAGTAACCTAAAGTTCAGCTTATCTAAAAAACAAGAACAGATTAATCTTTATAATAGTTTTAGTTTGTATTTTTAACTGCGTAAGGCAGAGTGAGAAAAGTATATATCAAAAGATTTAAGAGAAGAGACACTGTCAGTAACAAATCTTAAGGAGAGGCTGATTATTCTCTTTTGATAATCTCTTTTTTTAAAACTACTTTTTTTTTAAGGTTTATTTTTATTTATACAAGAACTGGGTATATAGTCAGAAGTGTGGGAGGGTGAGAGAATTCACCAGAGACAAAGCGGGAAGCAGAACAGGCAGATGGACCAAAGACACTGCTGAGGGAAGCAGCAGGTGAGTCAGGAGAGGTCTGCCGCGCCATGTGGGTTTCTCCCTGGCCGGCTGGGAATAGAACCCGTGCTGCAGAGACTGCAGACAGCTTCACAGAGCAGCGCTCAACCCACTGGGCCACCATGGAGGCCCTATACCTATTTTAATAAGTATACAAATACCACTAAGGTTAAGGAGATTTTTACACTCCATTGTCCTAGAATTTGGGAAGGGGAAAAACCATTCTCAGAAACTACCACTGTTATGGATCTGTCCCTTTTAATTTAAAGACACATGGCTGAAGGACCTACAAGCCTATCAGATGGGGGATTAGTTATCAAAGTTTCTTTATCTTGAAAATACTACCCTTTCAATTGTCTTACCTTTGTTGACAGTACTTTAAATGTACTCTGTTCAGGTATTATAGGATGAAGAAGTCTCAGTTTTAAATTGTAATCCTCTCCAGAAGGAAGTTTCACCAAAGCAGACAACTAATTAATATAAAATCAGCGATATATTTTATGAGTTTATAAAATTAAAGGTAAAAAATTGAATATAATCACATAATTTCAATACTGCTACATATTATTATAAAGCTGATATTACATGGGATATCAGATTTAAGGACCTCAAAATAATCCTTTTTCATCTGGTATCCATCACATGATTTCTTATGTGTATATAATTAAATGGCAGGAAAGAATGTGTCTCATAACAAACTTAAAATTTAAGTCTCAAAATACAACAATAAAATGATACATATATAACAAAAATATTCATGTGCAAAACATCTAGTTCTGCCACTCGCTTAAATGTAAGGTTATCTGCTAAATGCTAGGGAGCCAAATTATTAAAAGCTTCTCATTTAATATGGTAAGTAAATTCTAAGACACGTAAGTCATAAAACAAGTAGACCCCTTCATTAAGTATATACACGAATGTAACCAAATCACATATATTACTGATTTCTACTACAGAAATCAGCAGAACCAAGTTCTGCTTTGAATTCTAAATGTAAAGAAAAAGAAAGTAATGTACATCTAACTTTATCTGACACTATATATATACTCTTGTCTCAAAATTTAAAGTGATTCAAATTAAAAAGCAATGCCTCAGATTTTGAGCATTTTCCACATTATCTCAAGAAATGACATATACACCACAAATTGCCAGATTATTCTGCAATATACTATAGTTGCAAATAAAACCACTTAATCTCAACACAAAGACTGTTCAAAGGCTGTAATAACCTCTTTTTCTGAAAATTCCACATTTACATCATTCTTCTGAACATTCTTGATCATAAGTGTAATGATAACTTGAGAGTCTGTTTGATACCAGTCATACCTATTAAAAAAGAAAACAAATTTAAAACAGACTTCTTATTTTCTTAAAGCTGTTGCTTCTTTATCAAATAAAATGTGCAATTTTATAAACAACAAGAGCTCCACCTTGAGGAACAACATAGCAAAGCAGTCGAGGATTTGCAGAAGCAATTTTAACTCATTATTTTTAAGATCTGTACTAATGAAACAGAGCAGTAAGGGAGATGATGTTCCAAATCTTTCTAGGGGATTTAAATACCTGATTTTCTGGGTTCTCACTTATATTTCTAATACTTTTGTGCTTAAGAGAATGTTAAAAGGGCCTCCCCGGTGGCGCAGCGGTTGAGCTCTGGGTTGGGAAGCTGCTCGCAGCCTCTGCAGCGCCAGTTCGATCCCCGGCTACTCCCCGGCCACCGGAGGAGGGTCCCACATGGCGCACAGACCCCGCCTGCCGCCCGCTGCTCCCCTCAGCAGTGTACTTCGGTCCTTCTGCCTGCTCTGCTCCCCTCCCTGGCTCTGGTGAATTCTCTCACCCTCCCGCCCTTCTGACTGTACCCAGTGCTTATATAAATAAATAAATAAATAAATCTTTAAAAAAAATAAATTATTAAAAAAAAAAGAGAATGTTAAAAGATGAAACTTATTCTTAACTAAGCTTTTAAACCATAATTTTACACTCTCAACCTCAGGTTTTACATTCTCAACACTTCTATCCCTATTTTACAGATTAAAAAAAAGTAAGCTTATGGAAGGGATTATGCTCAGTGAAATAAGTCAAAAGGAAAAAGGAAAATATGAGATGATATTTATAGGAGGAATACAGGGAAACCGAAAAAGGGCAAAAAAAAAAAAAAAAAGGCAAAATTTGTATGCAACTTTAGATCTGAGGCTTACAGCAAGGGAGAGGAGGGAACAGGGCTCAAAATGTGTGGAATAAGTGCAAGGGATCATGGTGATGGTTCATAGGCAATGTTATGGTAGGATATTCACAAGGACTAAACTAGAATGGAGAAATCAAACAATGTACAAAAATGAACAATGTAAGAAAATGAAAAATTAGTAAGGGGTGGGGGGAAGTAAGCTCAGAAGGTAAAGCAATCAGCCAATCAATGGCAGGTGTTAGTTTGACCCTGGTCAGCTTCAAGCTATACTCCTAGATCTCTCAAATGAAATTGAAATAAACATTCCTGAGCACAGCAAACAGAAGCAAATGTGCTAAAATTAAAATAATTTAAAATTTAATTCATCCTGCATATTAAAAAGGTATCTTTCTTCACTTTCAAGAATGTAGGAAAACAAGTATGCCCAGAGAGTCTAATTATGTGTATCTTTTCCACTTAAAGTTCCAAAAATATAAGGATCTTCACTTTCAAGTCTGACTACATTATAAACACCATGAGGTTAGACTATTTATCCTGCCACTATTACATTCTTAAGACTAAGCACAATGCCTGGTAAATGATATATTAAATCAATGTTTAGGCCATCTTATGCTCCAAATAACATAATTATTTTCTGATGTTTACGTGTCCTGTGGCAGCCACCAGCCTAATCAAAGTTCTCTACTAGGTACTTGAAGAGTCATCCTGCATCTCCACAGAAATGAGAACTGCTTTGTTTTAAAGTTTCCAAGTCATTTTAGATAATTATGTCAAAAAGCACCTAGATTAAAGACATAAAGCTTTAAGAGTCTCACAAATTCCCTTTGAAATTCAGTGAGGAAGCAAGCTCTGATCAATGCCTTGTGCTTTATTCTGTTACAGCCCAAGAATACAAGGTGTACAAATAATTAAAAATAAATTCAAATACTTGTTAGGTGCTTTTTCATTATTGTAAATGCTGTCCTCAGCAACACTCACATTCAAGTTAAGCAGAATTATTCTATAAAAAATTTACTCCAAATAATAAAGGCTGGTAAAATTACAATTTCTATTAAGCCTACTACTAACTTATCTGGATAATAATGTCCTAAAGAGGGTCTCCTTAATATATGCAAAAGTGACAAATAATGGAACCAGGTGAAGTAAGTTTAAAGTTGAGAAGTCATTTGAATTTAACCTTAATAACACCTTAAATTTGTTTAAACAAATTTAAACTTTAAATTTGTTTTTTAAGATGTTACAAATTTTTTTTTGACTGAGAAACAAAATCACAGAGTAAGGAGTTACAATTAAATGACAAGAATTTTTATTTTCCCTTCAAATGTATTTAACATGATTATTTTTTGAAAAAGAAAAACTTACTTGATTTTTGACTGATGAGTCCGCTGGGATGCAGCCTGATTTTAGCAAGTTGGAAGAGAAAGATATTTACAAATTAGTTTAGCAACTGCGTATTAAAATGCAAATATTATTAATTTACCCACTGTTGATAGTTATTCATATGGAATAACTTCATGACAACTTCCTTCAAACAAGTAACATGATACAATTGTTAAATACCATTCACAAAAAATTAAAATAGTCACCATTTTCGTAATTTTATTAGCTTCAATTTCAAAAAATACTTTTCCTCTAAAACAAAACATGAAAACCAGAAAACTTCCTAAAGGTATAATCAGAAAAGGTTAGATATAAAATGTCCAGTTCTCTATATAAAATGAAAATAACAACATACAAAAAACCATTCTTAGCACACAGTGTAGCCTTCAGGTCTAATAATGGCATCATATATTGCTCTAGTTCATATAAAAGAACATTTACATGGTGTGCCCTACTGAAAACATCTTATTCCTTTCATGGTCTCTCAACGACAAACATTTTACAGTGTACATCAAGAAATGAACTGATTCTTGACCAATTCATATTTTCCTAAGGTACATAATGCACCCGTCAAGACTACATAAATCTGAAAAACTTGGCCTGAGTCTTAATAGGAAATCTCTTAAGTTTTTCCTGTAGAAAAATGGAAGAGATGGTGTTTGGAGGAGGAAAATAAGCAAAACTTCTCTAGAGATCTAAGTCTTACTCAGAATTATGCCCCACTGTTAAGTATTGAGAAATACCTGAACATAGACAATATGAAGCAGATACATTGACCAAAAGAGATTATTCCATTCATTTTGGTACCAAGATAAAACTATAGCAGCGAGAAAAACAATGTGGCTAAAAAGCTATTTGTGTTATTAGAGTTTCTGTTATGCAAATGCCATTCTATTATCTTCAGTTCTAATCCATATCCCAAATATTGTAAGACTTGGACAAAAACACTAGCAGGTAAAGCAAGCCAATTTTTAAATACCTCCTCAAATCTATTCTCCACCTGTCACCCCCAGGAATATGGACAAGTCTGGAGGTATAGGAATGGTCAGACAGAGCTCTCATGTTTGCTATGTTCAAAATCCCAGTCACTACATGTGTATATATACCTGCACTAATACTCACAACCAACTACCTAAAGTGGATTAGCTATAAATGAGTTCAGTTTACACATGTAGAAAGCTCAAAAAATAAGTGACTTTCTTGATGTTACAATGCAATCCTGGAAGACAGAAATGTAAATCATTCTTCCAACATTAAGAAAGGATTCAGAAAGGTTAAGTAAATTGTCCACAAAGAAAGTTAAGAACTAAACATATATATCCTGACACCTTGACTAAACATCACTCTCCAACTCTATCATAATATTTAGTAAAAGACTCAAAAATCTTGATGTCCCAAACAAATATAACACTGATTTAGACAGATAAACATTTCCAAATTTTAGCTAACCTTTGTGTTTTAGCAGCCTAAAAATTGCTTCTAAGATAGCAACTGTTTAACCTAGAGGTAATGACTTTCCAGCAAACAAACCAAATCAATTTAAATAATTCATTAGAAGAATACAATAATTTTCATGAAATTTACCAGTTACTAAAGGAACAAAGCATTTAAACAGAACTACTCAATATTTAACTGAGAGAGGTCATTCTAAGTCTTATTTATACCACAGTAACATAATTAAAAACATGAAGGATAAAAATTTTGGACTTACCACCTCCTCTTGTGATCCTAATAAAAACACAAAAGGAAGTATTTTAAGTATTTTCAGTTAACAAGAAATTAACAGACAAAGCTACCTCAATGGCACAATCATACTGATTAAGCAAACCACTCTCCATACACTCCAAGTAAAGGAAAGTGACTTAACTTTACATCTGAGTAACTGCCTGCCAATAATACTATTGCAAAACAAATCCATCAAATCTCCCTTTCAACATGATAAACTAGGCAAAAATCAGAATACCTTTGGAAACCCCTAAGGGAACATGTACCACAAAAGTCAAGTTATAGTAAAAAAATAAACTGGTTTAAATAAAAAAATGTCAAGCTTTTTTTTTTAAACTAAAAGCCCATGAGAAACAGATATACTTACCATTCTGCGCTTCTTGACATCTCTTAATCCAGACAACGAAATCAGCATCTGCACCTAGAAAGAACAAACTGACTATATCACTCATCTGCACAATCTAACATATTTGTTCAACAAATACTTACTGAAAACTTACTACAATTCAAATACTGTTCTAGTTCTAGGCACTGAGGATTCAGCAGTGAATCAAAAAGACAAAAATAACTGTCTTAACAGAGCTGAGCAACCCTAATGTTATTGCTCTCAATATATCAATAAGGGGCCTCCCTGGTGGTGCAAGGGGTTAAGTCTCAGCACTTGAAGTTATCCCCAGACACTGCTGCACAAGTTTGATCCCAGGGCAGGGACATAACCCACATGGTGCAGCAGAGCTCTTCTGTCTTGCCCACTGCTTCCTCAGCAGTGTATTTCAGTAGATCTGCCTATTCTGCTCCCCACTCTGTCTCTGGTGAATCCTCATACACACACACACACACACACCTCTGGCCTGCACCCCAGCGCTCTTGTATGCATAAATAAATAAATATAAAAAAATAAATATATCGATAGGTTTAACATTTAGTTCATCCTGAAGAATGCTGATCAAAAAAAAGAAAAAAAAAAAAGAAAAAGAAAAAGTTTTAGTGACAATCAACCTTACTGGTTCCAAGATACAATCTACATTTTCCCTAACCCTTCTAGTAGAAGAGCTTCCTCTCAAACAACAAAATCAGACATGAATCAGACTGGCAAGATGACATCAAACAGGTTGTAGTGGAGGCCTAGTAACCAACATCTGGGTCGAGGTCCAGAAGTCTCTCCCAGCCCATTTATTGTCCTATGCAAGCTGCCTAGCATTCTGTCTGCTATTTTCTCAATGGCTTTATTTGTTACCAAGGCTTTCCTACCAACAAGAAGGAGCTTTTTTTTATATACTTTATGGAGTTTTATCATATCTACAAGTTTCATGGCAGTCAAGACACTACATTGAACTATATGTCAAACAGCAATGTAAACATTACATAAACAAGTTACTAATACTCAAAACAATAGTATCTAAGGCTTTAATAAAATGTTAAGAAAATTTATTAGAAATACTCTAATAAAAGTTTACTCATTCAAGCTAATTTCAGGAAAGACTATATTGAGAAAACAGCAAAAATATCTTAGAATGAAATTTTCTAATTCACTACATATAAATGAAATTCAGCTATACACACACTCACATACACGCGCACGTGCGCACACACAAGGTTATAGTAGAGAACAATTATAAAAACCCTAGATTTGAATAATCTATTACTCAAATCAATCAGTAAATAAAAAGAAATTTCCTACCATGCAAAGGGGAAAAATGGTAATGTTCCGAGTTATAATTTTTTTACCATTTGATCAAAATGGAAGTCTAATAGTTTAACATGGATTTTTCCTGGAATTACATAAAAAGACATACTGTCTTTAAATTAAATCCTCAATAGCAATTTTACCAAAGAGCAGACATCATCATCTTAGCTACATCTGAAACAGTTTCAGGATAAGTCAGTGGTATGATAATAAGGTATTACTCAGGCAAGAAAGGTAGGTAGAAAATTCTAATAGCAACACTCTTGCTGTAAATAAGATAAGCAATAGAGCTTAGAAATCTAGAAGACAGAATGAATGATGTCTCCAGGATTTTCTAATATGTATCAAAGCTCTAGATATTGGGACTCTTAGATTTTGTTATGAGTGCAAATATTCTGGCTTGCTAACTGAAGAGTCACATTGTTCAGGTACTATACTTGGAATAATCAAGTTTGGGAACAACTTTTTTTTTTTTTTTAAGATTTATTTATTTATTTACACAAGCACTGGGTACAGTCAGAGCGTGGGAGGGTGAGAGAATTCATAGTCAGAGCGGAGAGCAGAAAAGGCAGAGTGACGAAGTACACTGCTGAGGGGAGCAGCGGGCAGCAGGACAGGTCTGCACGCCATGTGGGACCCTCGCCCAGTGACCAGGGAACAAACCAGCACTGCAGAAGCTGCGGGCAGCTTCGCAACCCAGCACTCAACCGCTGCGCCACAGGGGAGGCCCAAGTTTGGGAACAACTTCCAATGCCTAAATATCTTCTTTCCTAATTTGTAGCTTCTACTTGCAAAGTTGGGCCTAACGTTCCTGCTCAAGTAGGTATACAACAGAAAAGCAAGTATTCAAAGCACAGTAAAGAATATTTTAAAATATAAAAATATAATTCTACAATATTTGAGAGCAGAGCAATCTGGAAATCTAGAAGATTTGGTACTATACTTGGAATAATCAATTTGAATAATCAAATTCTAAGAGTCCCAATATCTAGAGCTTTGATACATATTTGAAGATCCTAGAGACATTAATCATTCTGTCTTCTAGATTTCTAGAAGACAATCAATTGTCAATCTCAGCACTACTCATTAGTAGTAGTAACACTTGATCAAGCTATGGGAAACTGGCCTGTGTACTATAGATATTTAGCAGCATCCCTGGCCTCTACTAACTAGATGTCAATAGCACACTCCTCCATCCACCAGTTAATAGTAATCAAAAGTATATTCAGACATTGCCAAATGTCCTCAGGGAGTGAACTCACCCCCTGTTGTTAGAAACCACTACTTTAAAGTGTTCTAGTAACACTTCAATAACATAAGGTGAAGATAAAAATGATAGCAAGCAATTAGGATTACGTAGTCTATAATTAACTATGAGATTACTTATAACCTCTTTCAGTAGTTTGCACTTTCTGGTTTTTGCCTCTTACAATTTATGTATATATGCCTAGACATCTATACTGCTCTGAAAAAGATAGTGAAAACTCACAATACTTAAAAAGCTCCATGGTTCTTCTGTACCCTATCACAATTATCCAAACTAACTTCACTTCTCAAAAAAATCTTTAAGATTTCCTATCTCAGGGCTCCCTAGTGGAACAGGGGTTAAAGTCAGTTCTACTAAACTATCCAGCAACCACTATAGCATGAGTTCGATCCCTGGCCAGGGAGCTAGCCCACATGGCGCAGCAGACCTCTCCAGTCTTGCCTGCTGCTCCTCTCAGCAGTGTATTTCAGTAGATTTGCCTGTTCTGTTCCCCACTGTCTCCGGTGAATCCTCTCACCCGCCTGACCTCTAGCCTGCCCTGCACCCTAGTTCTTGTATGAATAAATAAAAATAAATTTAAAAAAAAAAAAAGATCTCAGCAATCTGAACACAAGAACAAATTAGACTTTCACTTGTCCATTAGGAAAAAATAATGCCAGGCTACATAAAGGGAGCACGGTGAGTATTTATATAGTTTCTAGCTTCTAATGGTAAAAGTCTACTTGTGATTTGAATGCTAAAGAAAGGTCAATTTACCTTTTTTTTTTTAAAGAGGAAAGAATTTCTTTTTTTTTTTTTAAAGATTTATTTATTTATTCATACAAGCACTGAGTACAGTCAGAAGCGCGGGAGGGTGAGCAGAGCCAGAGCGGGGAGCAGAGCAGGCAGACTGACGAAGTACACTGCTGAGGGGAGCAGTGGTTGGCAGGAGAGGTCTGCGTGCCATGTGGGACCCTCGCCCGGCAGGCGGGGATCGAACCGGCACTGCAGAGGCTGCAAGCAGCTTCGCAACCCAGCGCTCAACCACTGCGCCACCAGGGGAGGCCCAGGTCCATTTACTTTTTAAGTAAATTCAAATTTTGTAATCAACACAAAATGTCATTGAGGGTAGAAAAAAAAGGTTTTGGGTTTCTACAATTAACCTGAGATTACGCTAACTAAATTTAGCTATGGTATTTAAAGACAGAGAAATAATAGATTTATTAACATAATTTTAACACTTACTATTTAACTTCTGTCCTTCTGTAAAAGTTTCTAAAGCAGCAACATAGTTTTTTTCATGGTATTCACATATCCTGCATGAGCATATTAAAAACAAATACCACATACACATGAGATCATGAAAAATAGCCTTTCTTACAAAAAAAAATTCCTAGTAATCTCTATTGTTAAAAGATTTTAAGTATATATTAACAAACTGAAGCTTATTTAAAATATTCTACTGTAACAATAAGTATAATTTACATTGAAATCCAATTTTGCAACTTATTTCAGAAGGAATTTCTTGATTTCAATTACATAAACTTAATTATTCCAAACTATAGTAAGATTAAGGAATTAAACAAGTTTCTGAGTAAAGACTAAAGTCACATTTATCAAAAGTCTAAGACTGGGTTATACAAGAGAAACCAGATGGGATATAAAATACAGAGAGAGACCGTGTTTTCCTAGCATTTAAGGCAGCCTATCCAACTTGGTTGAGGAATAGAATGTTCTCTGGTCATCTAAATGTAGTCATCCTAAGTGATAAATAAAAAAGGGATTTGAAATCCATCAATATCATCTATACCTTGCCGTTACTTAAATTATCACTATTTCAAAACACAGTAAAATAGAGTTCCTGTCACATACTGTAGTTAATAGAACAGAAGTAGAAATTATATTTAAAACTGAACCCTATATTAGATATAAAATATAAAAAATAGATTTTATTAATTATGTAACATTTACAATCAATTCATTCCACTAAGAATCTAGTATCTGTAGCACACAATAAGAAGAGTTGTTACTGCATACCCTTTTCTCAGCATAGCAATGGAATTATTTGGATTAAGTTCAAGAGATTTCTTTGCATCAGCAACAGCATCTGAAATGAAGAAAAGAAGAGTTTAATCAGTTATTTATAGTCTCACAATTACCAAAAAAAAATTCAGTCTTACATTTTTAAGGTTTCAAGTTGGAATATACAAGTTTTAAAATAGGAAAAGCTAACCAAAGATATAATTCAAAGAAACATTACCCTCATACCTATTAGCCTAATATTTAATTTCATTTTTAAAGTTCTTCAATGAATAAAGCTGTGTGACACAGTTCATGTATTTTTTATTAACATCATTATGTAATTTGACTCAAGATATTTAACTTTTCCTTACCAAGATTCTCTATCCAAAATAATTAGTCATAGAATAATTGAAATATATATTTCAATTAAAAATGCAAATGAGAGTGGGCCTCCTGGTGGCGCAGGCGGTTGAGCACTGCACTGTGAAGCTGTCCTGCAGCCTCTGCAGCATGGGTTCGAACCCAGCCAGCTGGCAAGAATCCCATATGGAGCGACAGACCTCTGTCTTGCCCACTGCTCCCCTCAGCAATGTATTTCAGTCAATCTGCCTGTTCTGTTCCCCACTCTGTCTCTGGTGAATCTTCTCACCCTCCCGCTCATCTGGCCTGTACCCCAGTTCTTGTATAAATAAATAAATCTTTTTTTAAAAAAAATCACTTCAAAAAATGCAAATGAGAGTATGTCAATAAATATTCTGTAAAACAATAAATGTGATGTTATTCTTTAATAACAGGTCCAATAACCACAAATGAAATCTATATAAATTCTCTACTCACCAAAGTATACACATCCATAAAATTTACATGGGCGTTGCCCATCATGCTTGGCTCACTTCAGCTACTTTACTTTGTATGAAAGATCAATTTTTTTTTTAAAGATTTATTTATTTATTTATACAAGCACTGGGTACAGTCAGAAGCGAGGGAGGGTGAGAGAATTCACCAGAGCCAAGCGGGCAACAGAACAGACAGACCGACGAAATACACTGCTGAGAGGAGCAGCGGGCGGCAGGAGAGGTCTGCGCGCCATGCAGGACCCTCCTCTGGTGGCCGGGAGCAGCCGGGGATCGAAACGGCGCTGCAGAGGCTGCAGGCAGCTTCGCAACCCAGCGCTCAACCTCTGAGCCACTGGGGAAGCCCTGAAAGATCAATTTTAAAATCCTAACACTGTTCTCTATTTTATTTGATTCACTACATCTTCGGCAAAATATATAAGTAAATTACAAAGAAGATACAATAAACTTTTTTAAGAAAAATTACCACAGTAATTCCCAAGAAGAATGTGACAATAAGCTCTTTGACAGTAATATTGTACATCATCTGGTTTCTGTTCCAAAGCCTTAGTCAGCTCCTACAAATACAAACATTTTGAGTGTCAGTAAGTGTTTTTCAAAAGCTATTACATTTTAATTAAGTATAAGTTTTAATCAAATAAACTTCATAAGCTGTTAGAGATAACAGGGATCAAGTGTGGAACTTTTCTTTGCAAGAGGACATTCTTCCCTACCATTCCCTTCTCCCCCCAAAAGCACACAATCTAATATATTATCTATATAATGCACTTAACAGTTCCTGCCCTACAGTAGGAACTCAATAAATGGTAATTATCACCACCTCATTTACTCTGAAAAGCTTAGTTGATATACATTGAGCATCACACATTTTCTCCTTCTAATTTGGAAGACTCGAATATCATGTAGAATTTGAGATGCCTAGAAAACGTAAAGCTGTCCAATTAAAAAAAAAATAGGGGTAAAATCTAGAGCTCAGGAAGGTTAACAGTATCAATAAGTACACAATCAAGCTTACCTGGCACGCTCTCTCCCTCACTCTCTGTCAATGGCAGAGCACCCTAAGAAATTATATTCTGTTGAAAACCCAGATCTCATAGATAGCTATCATCAATTGTTCAAGTGCTAACATTTAAAGAGATTAAAACTTTTGCTACCCTGGGCAGTCACAGCAAGTAAGTGGCAGCTGGAAAAATAATGATGCAAGAAGACAGAGCACAATCAGTGAGGCCAGGGCAATTGCAGGCAACCAGAAACACTTTGATTCTCTACCCAATATTCACACACCCTAGGGTTTTGGTACTTTTCTCGAAAGGTAAAATTATCTCAATAGCCACATGTGTCGATGACTTTGCTTTAACTTAGTAATATGATTCTCAAAAAGCAATGTACTATATTTTGCTATTCATTTACCTAAAATTCAGCATACCTAAAATCCAAACCACTTTTTACCATCTTTACTCCATCACCCTTATCCAAACAGTAATAAAAACCAGATCTTGTTACTATGTCTCTGCTCAAAAATCTCCGAAGCCTTTCCAGCTGACTTAGTGCAAAAGTCCAAGTCCTTCTAATGATCTACAAGGTCCATTTTGATATGAATCCCTGCTAGCTCTCTGATTTCATGTTACTACTCTTCTATTTGTTTTACCATTCTAGCCACAGTGGCTTCTTTGCTGTTCTTCAAATACTTTAGGTTTCTGCACTTGATGCTCTCTATCACTAGAATGTGCACAAAAAAATCTATCCCCTTACTACCTACTTAGTCGCAAAGACCAGACCAGAGATAGGATTCAAATCCAGGTCACATTCCAAATCAGATTATAAATGTTTCTTTACTCCATGTTTCTTACACATACCATCTGACATGTGTTAGTTAGTATCTTTTCTAATACTTTGAAATTCCTAAGTTTAATAATACCATCTTACACTAAACTTTCAATCTTGAGACAGCTGATAGCTTCTTACCTAAATACTCAAAGCATAAACTCAGACCAAATTTTTAGCCTTTCCTCAGCAAGAAAATTGTGTATTATGGTTAAAAAAAAAAAAAAAAAAAAAAAACTCATACAGATTGTTAATATATACATTATCAACCCAAAACAGAATTTTTAAACACATTATTTAACAAACATAGGTCACACACTTAGGGTGTATAGATAAATCAAATTAATAGTTACTTACTAAGAAGTCAGATAAAAATTTCTGAACTTCAAACAACCAACTTGCAAATAACCTTTAAAGACATGAACTAATTGTTGATTGCAGTTACCATGATTCAGTGAAACTAACCAACTAACTCATGTTGTTACTAAAATAGGTTGCCAAAGAACTACTAAACACAACATTTTGACACGGAAACTTAAATGTCATGAATAAAACACAGTATTTATTTTGTTTTGTACAAGCAGTAGCAGCATAGCAAAGGACAAAGAAAGTGAAGTTAATGATTTGTGGTTGTCTTAACTACATCTGACTTGTGGCATGTTTTTATCATTCTGTTTCTGTGACAACAGCTGCTGGCTGTTAGAACACAAAGGACCTACAGGAGGGCCTCCCTGGTGGCGGAAGGGGTTAAATCACAGCATCATGAAGCTATCCGCAACCAGTGCAGCACAAGTTCGATCCCTGGCCTGGGAGCTACCCACATGGCACAGCAGACCTCTCCTGACTCACCTGCTGCTCCCCTCAGCAGTGTATTTCAGCAGATCTGCCTGTTCTGTTCCCCACTCTGCCTCTGGTGAATCCGCTCATCTCCCCCACCCCCAACACCTCTGGCCTGTACCTCAGTTCTTGTATGCATAAATAAATAAATCTTTTTTTTTTTTTTAAAAAAAGGCCTACAGGGACGTATCTCAAAAGGGACGGATTCAGTGCCATAGTGGGAAAGGCTATTGTTAAATGCAGACCCATGGGGAACATAGTGTAAACCTGTCCAAAGATATTCTTACTAAAGTAATGTCAAGCAATTTGGTATTTAAAGTTTTTAAAAATAAAGAAATCTGGTAAAGTGTAAATTATACTGAAACATGACAATGCTGATGAAGTACTCATAACCCAGAATAAGAGGAAAAATGCCTTTTCAGGGCATAAAAATTGTTTAAGACTTGAAATGTAGAAAATTTCCAAGTCTTTCAAGTTCTAGGTGCTTTTTTTTTTTATAACTTTTTTTTTTTTTTTTAAATTTATACAATAGCTGGGTTACAGGCCAGAGGCACAGGAGGGTGAGAGGATTCACCAGAGACAGAGTGGGGAGCAGAACAGGCAGACGACGGAAAGCACTGCTGAGGGGAGCAGGGGGCGCAGGGGGCGCAATAGGAGAGGTCTGCTGCGCCATGTGGGAATCTCCCTGGCCGGCTGGGAATCGAATCCGCGCTGCAGAGGCTGTGGACAGCTTCACAGCCGCACTCAACCTGCTGCACCATCGGGGAGGCCCTTAGGTTCTTTTTAAAATGTTACTTAACAAGGTAAGGTGTTATTGAGGGCAAAAGCAAAAGTCAACTGCTCAGTCTGACCTAATGTCTAAAGGCCTTTTGTTGAGTATCTCAATTAGATTCCACTTTGTTTTCTTCCTGCCACAGTTAAACCTGAATTAAGGATAAACAACATCCAATCTCTCTTCCTAACCTGCCTAGCACCGCTGGAGAAAAAACACACAACCATGCATATTTATACCACTACGGTTTATACGAACAGTTTTTACAGTTTACACTGCTAAAAAAGCAAACTATTGCTAGTCCACTACTTCAAAGATAGCCACCAAATCTTTCATTATATCATAATCCCCAATCCTACCCCTCTTCTCCAGAGGTTGACCTTGATGCCTAGAACATGAAGACTAGTCATTTCGAAACTATATAATGTTGAACAAGTTAATTTCTTTAGCCTCCATTTCCTTACTAATAAAATACAAATACCCACCTCAGAGCTGCTGCAAGAATGATGGCAGGGGTCATTTACCACATCCCCAGCACTACACTAAGAACACAGTCAGTAAACAACAGCCCTGCCCTCTTGAAGCTTACAATGAAGCCCAATCTAGATAGGGGAGATCAGAGAGAGGACAGCTTCTGAGGCGACATTTCAGCTGAAAGCTAAAGTGATGAGCATCTACAGACAAAATAAGAGTTAGGTAAAGAAAATATTTTTCAGGGCCTCCCCGGTGGCGCAGCGGTTGAGCGCTGGGTTGCGAAGCTGCCCGCGGCCTCTGCGGCGCCAGTTCGATCCCCGGCTGCTCCCCGGCCACCGGAGGAGGGTCCCACATGGCGCGCAGACCTCTCCTGCCGCCCGCTGCTCCCCTCAGCAGTGTACTTCGGTCCTTCTGCCTGCTGTGCTCCCCATTCTGGCTCTGGTGAATTCTCTCACCCTCCCGCGCTTCTGACTGTACCCAGTGCATGTATAAAACGAAAACAAACAAACAAACAAATAAATAAATAAAACATGCCTCTAGGGGGAAAAAAAAAAAAAAAAGAAATATTTTTCAGACAAAAGGAACTGCAAGTTCAAAGGCACTCCAGTAGGACTGAGCTTGACGCATTCAAGTTACAGAAAAACACTGCTAGAACCTAGAGAGCAAAGAAGCTACAGATGACTACCTCAAGAACGTCACCATGTACCTTACTTTTCTTCATTATAAATCTTTATATATAGGTCTTCTTTAGTCTCATTTTATAACCAGGAAGTCTGAGCCAGTGCACCAGAAATTTCTCTGAGTTTTCAGAATTTTTCGGAGGCTTTGTTATCCTGAAACCAGGATTTGGACCAAAGCAGTCTGACTCCAGAGTCTATGCTCTCAACCACAATTCATACTGGGCCTCAAAATTCTCAAAAATCCATGGTTTCTCTTCTTACTAAACTGAGATTTACTACATAAAATTGCATTTTTTTTTACTTTCCTAGTCAACTTCCACTATACTATGCTTAGTTTACTTTAATAAAGACTCCACCAACGTACTTCTATTTTAATGAACTATTGATCTCTCCCCACTAGACTGCAAACCTCCTCACTGCAATCGTCATATTTAGATCCACGGTTCCTAATACAGCAGTCACCACTAATGTACACTGTTTCCTGATGAATGAATGAAAAATATGTATCATCTTTCTTGACACAAATATTTCCCCTTTATTACTAATTAAAGCAGTCTTATATAAAAATGTAACATTTTAACAAATGTAATACCAAGTGATATGAATTTCAAACTGTTTGGCCCTTAGGATAACCTAGGGAGAGACTCACTTTCTCTAAAGGTTAATAGTAATTAACATTTACCTATTCATCTTTGTGAAGTTATTTCAGGTTTTAAAAAGATCATTTTCTCTTAATACAGCTGTTTCTTATCATGATCATCCTCCCCACCCCAAATTTCAGATTCAGGTCTGTGTGGGTTCTGATCATTTGTATTTCTAACAAGTTCCCAGTTGATGCTGCTGCAATTGGTGTGTAGACAGGACAAGACAGAGTAAAGAAATATGTGTCCCAAAGCCCCCTTCTGCCTCTGGCTGTATACATCTCTGCGAATGATCACTTGGATTTCTCTGCGTCTCAGTTTTCTTCTGTAAAATGGAAAGGTAAGAAGTACTAAACTACAGGAACTGTAAAGACATTCAGTAAATCTGGTGTGGGATTTGAGAATATTTTCCTTTTTTTTTTCCCTTACATTTTAAAAGGACAGGTTTATTAGGAAAAGGAGAAAGAAAGAGACACCTCCATAGTAACAGGTGGGCAGGAGAGCTGCTCCTGTTTTGCAAATGGAAAAGGTTTTTGAAAAAAAACACCTGCACTCTCACAGGTGGAAAAGGAGAGCTGTATTTTGCCAGTCCAGAAATGATACTGATATGAGGAACCTGCTTTTCTAATGAGTTCCCAGGTGATGCTGATTCTGCTGGTCCAAGAGCCACACATTAATAACTAAGGTACTAAAGCTAATCACATGCTACTCTAATGCAATTTCACCCCCATGTATATACCTTAAAAATACAGAAGTGCACGTATTCACCAAAATACATGTACAAGAAAACTCACAGTGGTTTAATTCATACTAGCTAATAACAGGAAATAACCATATGTGCACTGCTGAATAAATTATACTGTATTACTACAATGGAATGCTATGCAAGAATGAAAAAGAACTACTATTTTACACAATATGGATGTATCTCATGTTTAAAGCAAAAGAGAGTACCTATACTGAACTGAGTACCTACTATTTGATTATTTATAGGAAGTGCAAGAACTAGCAAAACTAACTGATGGTGATGGAGGTCAGAATAGCAGTTATCTGTTGAGTACAGGAAAATATTGACTGGGAAGAAGCATGAGTGAGCCTTGAGGATGGAGCATTCTATATTTGACCTGGGTGGTACACACATATGTAAAGCTACAATTTAACTACTTGTACACTTAATACTTGTGTTGATTACATATATACTTCAATTGGAAAAAAAAAGCAAAATAAGCAAGATAGAAAGTGACAAGCTTTAAAAATAATTTTTACATAAACTGAATTTCCAAAGGAGACACTGGGTCTAAGAGGATGGTAATAAATGTAGATTCTGAAAATAAACAATTGTTTAAATAACATAAGGACCTGTGGGGGGGGGGAGTCTCATTGCCTCCTGTTACATTATTCTAATAATGACAGCAGAAGCCTATGAAACATGACAGCATTTTCTTTTAAGGCCTTTATTATCCAGATCCAAAAATTGTATTCTGAGCTAAAGGATCTAAGGGACCAAGTCTATGGTTCTTCCCTCTCTTGATCCCCTATCTCTTATTTTTTATCTACTCCAGTCAAATGGATCTTTTTGTTGCTCACTGCAGAGGTCAATTTTATTCCCACCTGAGGAGTTCTGCATTGGCTCTTCTTGCCTTGACTGCTCTTCTCCCAGAGCCTCTAAGTTTAGTCCCTCATTCCCTCAAATTTCTGCTCAAAAGTCATTCCTTAGAGAAATCCTTCTACCCATGTGGCAAATTTCTTTTAGAAGTCATAGCTAGGAAGACGTTCTCTAGCCTCAAATTGCTAACCTTTTATTTGTTTGATTGCAACAAGGCAACAGTTTCCTCTGTTCTATGCTTTGAAGCAAGAAACCTCTCACTAAATTTTGTGATCTGCTACATCAAGTGTCTTTAGCTTGAGCTCACTTTATTACTTTTAATTATAATTGAACTCTTGCTAGTCTGTGCTCCTTTATGTTTTACAGGCTTTGTCTTTCACTGCGCACAAACACAAAGTGCTTTATTCATCAGTTAAATGTAGAAATAAGATTTTAAACCACAGCTATCAGTGCCACAGCAAATAAAATGTTATGATGAATAAATAGGGAACAGCACATGTGAGAATTTTCAGGGACACATGTGAAAAGGCGTTTGTTCCAGTAGTCTGAGTTCCTACAGATTCGGGAGCACTGGGCTGCTACTTAAGTATGTCAATTCCTTGCCACTGATTGTCAATGGAGATGATGACTGTCAAATGAAAAACCTAATGAACTGTACAATCCTAGATTCCACTTTTCTCCCAGGCACAAATTCTATTAAATAAAATCCTTTCAAGGTAACTGTAAATGTCAACGAAATCCCCCCCCACCTCAAAAAAAAAAAAAATAGAAACGGTTTTACGGTTTAGGAGTGAAGAGCAAGAACAAGGTAGTCTAGAGTGGGACAGAGAAAGGAGGGGCAGAGACTGTTAATATTAGGGGCTGAATCAAAGTAAAATCAGCAGCTCGAGTCCCAGGCAGGCAGTGCTGGGAGAAGGCGGGGTCGGCCAGATCCCCTCTCGGTCGCGTACCCCAGAGAAGAGGGGGTGGGGCTGAGAACGACATTCTCACCTCTAACGCCGCCTGCGGGTCCTCTTCGATCAAAGCATCTGAGAAGCTCCGGAAAAACCTGCCAGGAAAACAACGAATAAAGCAGGAATCGCTAACCAATAAAAGGAGGAACAGAAATAAACAGCAAAGAGAAGAAAAAATACGTACCTCTGGGTTGTTGCAGGCCCTGCTGCGGCGGCCGCCATCCCTTACAGTTTCTGTTGTTGCTGCTGGAGTTGCCACAACCGAGGTTAGAAGCGCTGCCGCCGCCCCAGGGGGAAACTTCTGGAGAAACACCAACCGAGCTTCCGTCCGAGAAGCCAAAGAGCAGCCACGCAGCGTGCGCGCGGGGAGGGGCCATGAAACGTGGCCGCAGAGCGCGCTGGGACAGTGGAGGACCGATTCCTCCCCGCCAGCCCCGGATCCCGTGACCAGCGCGCCCAGGCCCCACCCCTCGCAGCCATGGTTACGAAGCCCCCCCCAACTTTGTTCACCTCTCTTCCACTAACCCCCGCACTTGAGCGGAGCTTTCAGGGGTAGTAAACTGAAAGCGCTTTTGTAACGTACTGTTCTCCCTCAGGAAATGTGGCGTTTGAGGGTGTTAATAACACGAGCCGCCGCTCTTATCATGGCTACCCGAGGCAGTCCAGCCTTTTGTGAGCCGTGACGTCATTCGCTGCTACGTGTTCTTTTCTCGGAGTAGAGTTCCGGCTGGCTCTGGGAACCCTAACGGACCTGGACTCGCCGGAAGTCGTACTGCTCCTGCAGAGGCTACACAAGAGAGAGCTTTTTGGTTCCGCTTGGAGGTAATGGTCCAGGCCCCAGAACTCCTCAGGTCCAGCTTTTCTTCCTATCTTTCTTAATCGCTTGAGAAGAAGAATCTGTTCCATCCGAAGTCGTCCTTGAAGGGAGGACGGTACCCTAAAATGGTCTCAGTGCAGCTTTACTTTCCAGTGTAACCAGCCAGGCGCTCGCTCATTGCACTTTGGCCCATGTAAATCGAATACAACCACCAGCAAGTTCCTTAGGACCCGGGTGAGGGGTGCAGAAGGGAATGGTAGTGAGTGGTTCCGTCAGTAACCAGGTAACTGAATTTGAGTAATAACTACATCCAAAATATAAACTAAGCTGAGGATCCAAAGATGCTAATTCCTTAAGAAGATGCTTAAGCGACTTGTAAGTTTTAAGCGAAAGGTGTGGAGAAAGCAGTGATAGCAAGGAGTGACACGTATGAATATAGAGATGGATTCCTCAAAGTTATGATAAATGAGTCTTAGCCTTGAAAGATGGATTAGAATTTTTAGATGAAGGAAATGGAAAAGCAATAGCAAGTGTGTTAGAAAACAATGTGAACACTAAAATTGGTGGGGCCTAAATTTAAGTTAAGGAGAAGCAGACTTACTGTAGAGGTAGGCAAATGTTTGGTCATAAAGGGATATATGTGGTGTGTTGTGATAGTCTCAATGGCAGTAACAAATTTCCTTTTTAAAAATATTCTGTGCTGTGGGAAAATAACAGTTGTTGGGAGACAACTGCTGTATTATGGGCCAAAGTGACACTCTTAAATAGATCCCTGATTGTCAGATGGAGAAGAAGGTAAGACAAATTTTTGATGTCAAAATGAGTTTGAGAATATCTTCCTTTATAATGATTATTGTTTGTATCAGATATAATAAGACTTTGCCTAGTCCAAAGACATGGAGATTTTTTTAATGTCTTATTATTTTACTTCTCACATTTAAGTCTGTGATCTTTAAAAAGTTAAATCTTGTTACAGCTGTTGTAACTGGAAGCTCAGAATTCAGGCCACCTGTCACCACTAAATGCCAATGAAGTAGAAACAAGAATTGAATCTTTAAGGTGCACTTTAATCAGATAGCCAGCAATCTAGAAGAGGGGGTTTAATACCCTAAAGAAACTGCTGTAACATTTTGTTTTAAACTGGCTTTTTGTAGTAAGTTGAACAAAGATAAGCAGTAAGTTCAGCAATAAACAGGCCTTCACTGATGCCAGGAGCTTGTGATGTCCAGCCCCCAGAGCTCCTTATCACTCTACTGGACACCTGGCCTCAAGCATGCCCCAGTGTGCTGAGTCTGGTCATCTGATAGCACTGGCTCTCTGCACTCCTCCAGATGTGTCCTTGTGCTAGAAAAATGAACTCAGAGTAGATAGGCCATAAACAATGTGTGTGTGCAGATTTCTTACTATACCTACCCAATTCCTCCTTTCCTAGCCCCTATCACTATGAGGTTGGGGTCAGTGCTCACTGCCTTGTCCCTAATATGTATATCTAACTGGCCCAGCCCTACTTCTTGAAAAGACTGTCATTTGTCATTTCCCCCACTAACTTCTAATGGCACTATTGTGAAGTATTAATAGATGGCCATTTTATTCATGGATATGTTTCTAACTTTTCGTTTCACTGGTCTGTTTGTCCAATCTTGTACTTGTAACACATTGTCTTAATGTAACTTTATAGTATGTCTCGAAGCCCTATAACTGTTCTTCAGGACTGCCTTGACTATTCTAAATCCTTTGTATTACCATTATCTTATAAAATTTATTTTTTCCATTTACAACTTTTAGGATAACTTGTCAATTTCAAAAAACTTCCTGAAATATTAGTTGTACTTAGAGATATATTTGGGGAAGCCAACATCTTAATATTGAGTCATGCAATCCACTAATATTATACATCTCTCCTTTTATTTAAGTGGTCCTTAATTTCACATAGCAGTGTTTTATAGATTGCACTGTAGAGGTTATCCACCAAGAAATATCCAGGCTGTAATATAATCAAGAAAGTGATTACTTGAGAGAAGGTATCATGGTCATGATCAAGCAAAGGGCAGCCACCCAAGATGTGTTCCACCAAGGGCAGGAAATAAATTTTTGAATGGTCAAGGTAGGGAAGTGGTCTGAACTTGGGTAACTTGTTTTGAAATTTAAGTTCCTTTGTCTTCTTATGATTGGTTGACAGTGGTCTTCAGGCAAAAGACTGCAGTGTGGGGTTTTTGGTAACATGCAGCAGATGGTTGCCTGTTTCATAGTCACAGATAAGGAGAAAATGGAATTGCTGCACTCAGGAATTCACCCAGAAATTTCAACATGGCTGCTAGAGATGCGATGTTGAATCTGTTTGATTAAAACTAGAATCTATTTGATTTACAGTAGTTCCCACAAGGTATTACATATCTTTCATTAGACTTATCTTAAGGTAGTTGGTATGTTTATGCTATTTCATATGGCATTAAATTTTCACTTATATAGTCCATTTGTTTGTTGCCTCTGTGTGTGTGTGTGTGTGTGTATCCCAGAAAATACAATATATAGTGACAAAAAACCCATCAGTAGTTGACTGGTGAGAGCCATGAACAAGCACAGCAAGAAGGGAATAGTTACAAGGGAATCAAGGAAACTTTTGGGGTGATATTCACTAAATATGTGATTAGGTTAAATATTTGATTATGGCAAAGAATTCATGAGTTTATATATATGTAAAATATCAAGCCATAAACTTTGAACATGGGTGGTATGTTGTCAATGATATAGCTCTATAAAGCTATTTCTAAAACAAATTCAGAGCCATAGAGAGAAATAGGTAGTTATGTACATAGAAGTGGTAGTTAGCAAAGTGAGAACCTAAGTGTGAAAATAAAAAAAAATGTGGTTTAGTTTCATATTTAATACATACTGAGCACCCACTATGTATAGATGCTATGCTAGGGACTGAGGGTATAAAAATTACTGCTACCCTGGCTCTTTATAACCTAGCATTGGAGTCACATATCGACAGGTAATCATTATAGTATATGTGCCCAAAAGGAAGAAATTAAAGGGTTCTATGACAGCAGTGGGAAGGTTTTAAGAGCTCAAAGAAAGCTTTCAGAGGAAGTAATGTCTAGCTAAGACCTAAAGAACAGGTAAGAGGTAGTCAAATATAATGAGATAAGCTGTTGAGCACAGGAAAAACAAATGCAGAGGTCTGGAACACAGTGCAAGCAGAGATCTGGGAAGTATGGCCTTAAGACTCTTCACTTGCATAAGTCCTTTCAAACCCTCTATATAATTTGGTATTCTTTTTTTTTTTTTAAAGATTTATTTATTTATACAAGCGCTGGGTACAGTCAGAAGTGCAGGAGGGTGAGAGAATTCACCAGAGATAGAGCAGGGAACAGAGCAAGCAGACTGACGAAATACACTGCTGAGGGGAGCAGCGGGCCCAGCAGGAGAGGTCTTCGTGCGATGTGGGACCCCTGCCTGTGGCCAGGGATCGAACTGGCGCTGCAGAGGCTGGCTGCAGCTTCACAGCCCAGCACTCAACCGCTGCGCCACCGGGGAGGCCCTGGACTTGTATTTTCAACTTGTCTGGGAGTTAAAAGCATGGCACTTGACTTAAGATCTGTCAGTCACATAAATTGGTAGCTAATTGACACAATAGATCAAAGTGGGAAACACTTTGTCTCTAGATGCAGTAGCACTATTAAGATGAAATTCCTAAAGCAACAGACAGTGGGTGCAAAGTTCAGTGGTTAGTGCTTGACAACAGTGGCTATAATTTCCTCACTGACCAGTTGTGCAGAATAGTTTTATCATTTGTACCCAGCTGTGTGGCTTAAATTGACCCAAATCTTCTTATGCTCTTGTCTGTTCTGTGAGATGCACAATATTCTTTGATTAAAATTTCTTTTATGATGAAAACCAGAATCAGTCTCTGTTGCTTATGATCGAGAACCCTATCTAACAACTTGGCATTTGGAAATGGAATATTACAAAACAGACCCTGCTATATATAACCAGCCAGGTTGAAAAGGCAGATGGAAGACACTGAGGGCACAACTATCCCAGGCTGAAAAATATGACCTTACAACAACGCATTAAACTTAAAGCACCAGATATGCATTCTAAAGCTGAGAAGTCTTGGAAAGAGTATTTCTTAATGCTCATACTAGATATGGCTCTGGAGGACAAGAAACTAGGGAGTTATAACTGATCTGAAGAGGACTGCACGTCACCCCAAAGATCCTAAATGTAAAACTAAATTAGACTTTAGCTAATCTCTCTTTGGGAAGGAATGTGTTTCAAATAAGGTGTGAGCAGTTTTGACCTGCTCCGTTTCCGACCTGGGCCGGTTCACCCCTCCTTAGGCAACCTGGTGGTCCCCCGCTCCCGGGAGGTCACCATATTGATGCCGAACTTAGTGCAGACACCCGATCGGCATAGCGCACTGCAGCCCAGAACTCCTGGGCTCAAGCGATCCTCCAGCCTCAGCCTCAGCCTCAGCCTCCCGAGTAGCTGGGACTACAGGCGCGCGCCACCACGCCCGGCTGTGAGCAGTTTTGAAAGTGCTAAGTAGAAGAATGTGTATGGGTGACATGTGGCTAATTCATTCCTCTCATTCCTTACTATGGAGTCCCAATTTTGACTGTCCATCTCCCCAACACATGACTATGTTAGGGTAGTCTTTGCTTCTTTGGTTTTGGTTAGGAATTGGTTAGAAAGGAGTGTGTGTAACCAATCTAGCAAAGAACCCTGAAAAGATGGCTGCTCAGGGGGTTTTGAGAAAGGTCTTCTTACTAACAAACAAACAGAAGGAACTACTGCCCTTCTGCAACCATGGCAAGCGCCAGCCTGGAAATGAAACATCCTAAACATGGTAAGCAAAAACATGGAAGAAATCTGCTCACTGAGTATCACCACTGAGCTCCTGATTTAACCAATATGAAAACCTCTTATTTTATTTAGTAGTTTTGAATTCATCTTTTGTTTCTTGCAATTGAAAGCATCTTAACCCCGACTACAAAGT